CGGTAAAGTTTTTAAAATAAAATAAATGTTAGTGAACTTAAGAACCTTACAGGCTCACTTATTTTATAACCTTTTCCTTGTAATGATATTGAAGACTTTAATCATGATCATCTTATTGATGATGAATTTATTGATGTTTTGTATCAATCATATGATGTTAATATTACAGAAAAAGATATAGTGTGTCTAATTTACATTTATATATGGATATGTTTGTAGATCTGTATTGAAGCATTGAAATTGTAATCTCTGCAGGAAAAAAACTAATTCTTGACATTCATAAATACCTCTGCATTCAAAATATTTACAATCCTAATATCTAAAATGTACGAGAAGTTATATATTTCATCAAACAATCAACTTTTTCTGTATTAATGTTTCTCATCACGGAGAAAGCATTATTTGGGATGAGTGAAAGTATTTGTGTATGTGGCAAATCACTGCATGATTTGTTGAAAAGCTGTGCTACACGTATTTGCAATATATTGCTGAATAATTACTGTAAGGCTAAAAATAACAATTTAAAGGAAACCAATGACGAAAAAAGAAAAATATGTAAATTAAATAATTCTGGATTTAGATGTAATAAATTCCATAATATTAAATTTTAAAGTTATATAGTAAATATCTGCAAACTGTACATAGTAGAGCTATAAAAACATACTGCGGCCCGCCAGTGGCTGAGTGTTAAAATTGCTGAACACTGGTAGTTCGGTACCGATTTCAATCCCGGCGAACGGGCTGGCTGTATGGGTGTTTTCGTTGTTTTCCCAATATGTAACTTGTGTACGAGCCAATTTCCCTTAGAAAGTCCTCCACTGTGCATGTTTGCAATGTTGTGGACATTTTTTACTCTTCTCTATTATCAAATAAATGTAGAGTGTATTTTTGATCAGATGTACAGTCAAAAGTCGTTAATCCGGACTCGTCGGGACTTCGGCGATTCCGGATTATCGATTTTTCCGGATTATAGATCATCAGTTTAAATCTGGTAAAATGGCATGCAAAAATTATAAAATTAAAAATATGAAACCGTAATTTACGAAATAAAGAACAATTATGATCTAAAGGGTATCAAAATTTACCAAAAAAAAAAAAAAAAAGCTTAATATTTATTTGTTTACTTTATTAAACATTTCTTTCAATGTAAGTTGTTTAAGTTGCTTCGTTTTTTTATGTGATAATACATTCTCTTTAATTCCATAAATAGACATAATTTCTTGTTCAGTCAAAGTTCCGCTGTTCAAGTCCTATAATTTCTGTGCCGAGAATACCGACTAATTTGTCAATCGAAATTTTTTCGTTTTCAATAACCTCTGTCACTTTCTTTGCTATCGAAAGCGAATTATAATGACGAGGCATTTGATTTAAATCATATCAAACACGGAGTACATGGATAGGAAATACCACATTTAGTAAGCAATTATAAGCCAAATAAAATAAAAACATCTGCCCTTAAGATAAGGATAGTGTTGACAGATCAACTTCCAATTCATTGCGCTGCTCCGTCGCGTTAAAGATAAACAAAGTTTAGATAAACAAAGGATATGGCTTTATTTATTTTTTGCAGCAATTCCACTTTTTGTTTAATGGACTCCAAAAGATACTTTCGCTTTGTATATCCTTTACATATTAGTAAATATATATCGGAAATTCTATTTGAAATAATCGAAAGTTCAAGCTTACTTTTATAAAATTGCTCTAACAGTCTGCAAAAAATAATAAGCTGGATCCAATTCGAAGATTAAGGAACAACGCAATCTGCAACATTAACTGAAATAGATAATCAGATAATTTTAGCTTAGCTTATCCCGTCCGTTACACATTAAACGTGCATTCGTAAACGTATTTTGCGCATGCCCACACGAAAATCCGCAGCCGTAAAGGTCTTACGCGCATGCGTCAACGCGACGCATGCGCAGAAAGTTTTTAGCTTTGAGGTCCGGATTATGGGTGTCCGAATTAACGACTTTTGACTGTACTTTCTTTCATAAGAAGTTTCAGAGCATGATATAATGCTCATTGGGATTGATTGCATAGTTATGATCTTGCTTTGTTTTTAGAGAATTTGTAATATATTTTTGGATATGCTATAAGATTTACTGTATAACGTTTTTGTTTCATCTTTAGGATCAATCTTTTTTTTTTTTTTTTTTTTTTTTTTTTAATATGTAGATTAAACTTAAGATCTAGTAACTAGGATAACATATTAATACGATTTAGGCATTTCACTTAATGTCCACTTGTGTATTTATTATTAAAAAGCATCTCAGGATCTCGGATTGAATATTGAAAAATCTTTAAGGGAATAAAGAAAAGAAATAGCCCCTTTTTTTTCATAATCGTTGCACAGAAAAACATAATTATAAAGCAATATTTTATTATATTAGAATTAACGTGTTGATATTAATTTTGTTATGAAATACTATATACGTTTTTTAATATTTAAGCAGTATAAATCAGTCTGCTTAATTTAAGCAATATAGATTAATCGGAGAGCCTAAGATACATTTTCTTCTTTTTATTACGAAATGAAAATCATCTTGTGTTGAGCTCATTATACATGTTATATTTTCATTGATATTAACCTACTATATAATTTTTATAAATATTTTTCTGTGTATATGTTTCCGTTTAATTTTTCAAATTTTATTTCCGTATAAAAGTTCAGATACGTTTCAGTTTCATTTAAATCTACTTCGCTAAATTTATAATATCGCTCGAATCTTATTTTATCTTCTGTTTGATAAATCGGTAGAAAAGTATTTAAATATTACGATATAATATAGCAAGTTATTAATCCTAAAATTCAAAATATTAAGTTGTAAAAATTAATTTCACTTGACTTTTGTGTTTGAAATAAAAAGTGACATAAATATGTGTCAATCGGTTTCGCTTGTGGCGTCACAAATCGATGGAGCAGGACAGTAGATATCAAGTTGTCCTTGGGTGTAGTCCCAGAAGCCAACTTAATATTAAAAATCTAATAAAGATTTTCAATGTTTTATGAAAATAACTGAATACAAAACTTCAGTTCTTTACTTCGGGCATCTCAGCCGACGTGCCTAGGTAAGCTCTTCAAGCGGCTTTTTATATGCCTTTTGTCTTTCTGTACAAAAGCATGCGCGAACACACCAAGATGCTTAATTGGGGAGTCTAATCATTAAATAAATTGTATAAATGTTGAGAATTTGGACGTAGACTATAAACACCGGCAACCTCCTCCCCCCCCCCCCCCGAAATAGAAAATAAACTCTCTAATCCAGATAACCAATCTAACCAATGTCCAGATAGCGAAATATCCAGCTATCTGTCCAAAACCGAAATTACCGATATTACAATAACAATAGTTTACTAGTTTATAAAATAATATGATCGGTGATGAAAAATATAACAATCTGGCAACTAGGTACCTAATCTCCTTTTATAAATTGCCGTGCCGTACACGTAGTACACCAGTTAGTGTGCTCCTGTCTGCCTCGAGTATTGCTGATTACTTGAACGATGAATATCTATTGTAGTGTTTAAGGCGTCTTAGGTTAGGTTTCGCTTTTTATCTTGCTTACATTCTTCTGCATGCTTGGACAACTGAAAACTATACATCAGCGTAAGTTTTTAATAACCATGGAATTTAATACTGTGCTATAACTACTATTTCTTTAACTATAGGTAGATTAAATCAATAACCAGGATGAGTAAGAAGGAAACGAAAGGCACATATATTTAAATATGATTGTAGGCAAATGGTAATAAGAATATTACAATTAACTTATGTAGTAATTCTTGAATACTTTGTAAAGTTTTTTTGGGGGGGGGAAGCACACTGGTCCGCGAAATTGTTTCGTAAGTTTTACCAGTCAGCGGACTAAAAAAGGTTGAGAAGCACTGCTTTATAGACTTTCGCGTTTTCGTCCATGCAAATCTTGCCCTCCCCTCCAACTCCCGTGAAGAAAATGAAAAGTTGGTGCCTGTGTTCATTCTTACATATGGTAAAATGACAAATGTTTCTAATAGGAAGGGCTAATCCGTCCCCCCCTTCCTACCCTCACAGAAATTTTCAAGGAAAAAAAAGCCGTATTTCACTGTATACATTTTAAATAAAAATATAATAAAAACGATAAAATAAGGATAAATAGAAATTATATTAAGTAAAATAAAATAAGAACGTACTTCATCAAATAGACTTTTCTTTTCCAATAATAAAAACGATAAAATAAGGATAAATAGAAATTATATTAAGTAAACTAAAATAAGAACGTACTTCATCAAATGGACTTTTCTTTTGCAATAGTAGTAAGATTGTTGTGCATCAAAAATTTTCTTCGCCAACCACTCACTGACTCAGTAAATACGAAAATGGAATGTGTAGATGATACATAACACGTGGCTTTTTCTAGACACATGGAAAATGACCGTTATCTGGTACTAGATGCGCAGAAGGGTCATTGTTAGTAATGAACAACGTCTGCGTATGTCGTCAGGCTAAGTACGGTATTACCTAGATTTAAACTTGCTCACAGCGTGAATTCCCAACTCAAACTTCTCCCTGACGATTGATGGATGAGCTGGAGAGGAAAGGTGGGGAGGGCAACACCTTCTGTTAGGAGGTGTTGGGAGGGGGCGCGAACTCCCATGGTACCTGTCCTGTCTAAGCATTCAAGGAACATTTTTGTTCTTCCCCAATAAGTGCACATTCTTTTGCATTAAAAAAAAAAAAAAAAAGCTCTGTCGTTCGCTGGTCGGCGCCCGCCTGCAAAGAAGGCCTTGCGGGCCCGCTTCCGCCGGCCCTGTTGGTAGCTATGAAAATAATATATTTTCCATCAGCCATATTATAAATAGTTCAGCAGCCTGAATTGTGCATTATAAAGTGAATATAAAACAATTTAGAGTTCTTTTGAAATCATTTTGCTACTCCCAGTAACTCTGTTTTTCATATTGGAGTGTTGGTAGCTATGAAAATGACAAGTATGTTATTTTATATAATTTTAATTTATTTTTGCTTCATTCAAGGGCTATTGTCCGCTTGGAAAAGGAAAGCTTTTGGGGGAGAAGGAAGTAATTCGTGTTGCTAAGAGTTGTTCACGCACACCAGCTCAAGTTTTGATCCGGTGGTCTATCCAGGTAAGATCTCAAAACAGTACTATAACTTTTAATCTCTGTGGCTTTAACCACTGGTCCACTTATATGCAGACATTTAAAATTAAGAAAATAACATTTAAAAACTTTGAAAAATTTCCAAGTATGTAGTGTTCAGAAGTGCTCAAATGTGTAATAATACTCAGATGTGTAGGCAGAGTTGCCTACTTTTCTGGTTTTATAAGCAGAATCCCCATTTTTCATCTTATCTCCTGGTATGCCTGTAAACTACTTGAAAGGCCTAAAAATTATGAAAAAAAATTAGGTGTTAGGCTTCTAATGAAGCTATTGCCCATTAGTGATGAATAGAAAAACACTGAGAGTTTCATTGCATGTTAGATCGTTGGACCTGCAACCAGCTGGTTGTGGCATTTCTCTCCTGAACCATTTTTTTCTTAGAAAGTTCACTAAGAAACCATCTTTCTGTATAAGCTAATAATCTCGAGTGTTTTACCATGGTTAACTGACCGGTTAAATAAGTTGAGAAGCTGATAAAATTTTCATAAATGTTAGTTTCATCGGTCCGTAATTTTCAAGTATCTTAAATGGCAGAATTAAATTTACACAATCCAGTTTTTATTCACAGCCTTCTTATTGGCTTGGTGGTAGGAGAGCCAGCTGCTTTGGCCTTGGGCCTGGATTTGAATCCCAGGAAAGGCATTGGTGTTTTAAGTATAGTGTCTTTGTAGGAAAGGGCCACTTAAAATAATGTATTAATTTCTTGATTATAATATGTAATGCTGCACATACTGATTTGCTTTTGTTGGTGTAGCAAGTAATGAGGTTAAAGAATTAGTGTATTAGTTTACTGTTATCATCTCAAAATTAAAGCTTTTGAAAAGATACAATTTTGTTTGTTTGAAAAGATAACTCTTCCCTCAAAACTTTGTTTAATTAATCAGCCAATGGATAACAGAATTTTATACACAGAGAAATGCAGATATAAAGTAGCCTATTTAAAATTGATGCTGCTGTAAGACTACCCACTGAAGTTTGGAAATATTTTAATGTTAAATCTACTCTGTGGGGCACTGCAAGTTCATGAGAAGAGAGGTCTGCAGATATTTTTAAAATGTTCGCATAATCAGTCAACATAGGAGTTTTCCTTTGAGGCCATTTTTGAAGAGGTCCATTTCAGTTTTTCTCAAAAAGCAACAATTAAATAAAGGTACATTTTGCTTTCATTTATCAGTATGTTTTATTCATATGGGGTACCAACTGTACTGATTGCTTAAGGTGCTGAAAATGCAGGAGCAAGGTCTGTTTATGGCAAGCCACCATATTCCATAAAAATTATGATGATGACTACAGCGAGTTTGAAGATTTCCAGATAATATCACAAGTAAGAAGCAAAAGTTCATATTTAAATGGAGTAGGTGATGAATCCTAAATGAATAAATTCTCAATTTATTCAAAATTCATTTTTTGTGTTTCCAGTTTAAATTTTTTTTAAGACTCAGTTTTTAAATATACTTCTGAGTTACTTCATTTCAATAAAATTCTAACTACCTTTATCAAAGGAGATAATATGCTAAACCATTACTATATAAATTATTATTTTATTACTTTGCAGCTTTTGTGCAAGTATTAATCAATTTATTAAGATTTAATTAAATTGTTTACTTATATATATATATTTATTTCAGAATGGTGTTTGTCACTATACCAAAATCAACTCAAGTGGAAAGAGTGAAAGAAAATAGTCAAGTAAGTCTGTTTTTAGTTATTTAATTATACAGTTATATGGGTGAGTTTCTCAAGTCATTGAATATGATCACTGAATTATGGATACTTGCTCCTGTTCTTTTGGCCATAATAACAACTGCCTTATTAGAAGGTCACTAAGTCTGCAGAAATGTTCCAGAGATATGGCGAGCCTGATCTTTTTAAAACTTTCCCATAAATCAGTTAAAAACACTGGTGGAATGTGATATGCTTGCATACCTTTTTTTAGAATACTCCAAAGGAGTTTATCGTGTTCTGGCTTTTCATTGGCAATTTCAGCTTAGAGCATTCAGTGAAATGCCTTTCAAACCAGGTGGTAGCCATATGGGATCTGTAACAGTAGCATTTGCCTTGTGGATATATTTCATTTGTATCAAGTAGTAGAAAAGTTTGAAGGGATGTAAGTGATCGCCCAGCAGCTCTATGTACTTAAATGTAGTGCAAGTGCTTGCTACAAGTACCAAATGTTCCAAACATTGCTATGAGGAAACTCCCTAGACTTTACTGAACTGCCATGATCTTATACAATCATGCAAACATCCAGTGTGCCAGCATCTATCGTTTCCAGTGAACCATGGACCTGGTATGCTGGATTCATGGATCAATGCATTTACTTTACGGAGTCTTCACATCATTGAGATAAAATTGAAATAAATAAGACAAACATTTGCTATAGAAAGAGGAGATATTTAATGTGTTTAAAACAGGAATTACAAAAGAAGTCCCCTGTGGACAAGTGTGAGAATATCCTGAAGCAAGCTTTCGCAAAAGGGGCAATAAATTCCCCATGGTGAGGCACACAAACAGTAGCCAAGGAAGGTTTGGTAAACAAGAAGCACACACCATGTGCAACATTGTCTTGGAGACGATTAAGGAAATAAAAATTTGGTTAAGTTGCCTCAGAGTAGATGGCACTGCCTTAACTGTATATGTGTTTAGGCCTGGAGGGCAGTCTGTCCTTGTTAAGAGAACTAACCTTCTCTTCTTTCATATAACATGCTGGATCCATGGAATTTACATTATATTCCTAGTTTTAATCAGCATAACAGCTGGAATCTAGCTAGCTCATCACTCCATGCCACTTGCTTCCAGTCATTCACTGTCTGCTACATGTGGCTGATGTGTAATAAATATTAAGTGTGGGGGCATGGTATTCTCATGCATCTTGAGCTTTTGAAACTCATATATTGAAGCATGTGGTGCTTCAATGCTGTGCTGTGTCTGTTGACTGCACAACATATTTGTACTTACTTGAGGTAAGTATATGCCCTTGCAGTTTGCCCAATTACTTTTTCTGCTATCTTTGTACTCTAGCTATTAGATACTGTATAATGAGAAAAACTGATTCTCAAACAATTTCTGTAACTGAATATCCTATGTGCTGAGCACTTATTGGTCCTAGATCAAAGACATCTAAATTATGGATTTTCCACATCATGTTGCTATCGCTGAGAGAGCAGAGGACTTCGTGTTCATGTACACAAGGCCAATGAAAGTCCTTGTGCCACCTTTATTTTTGTAAGCATTGGTCGTAGACATAAATTTCTAGTGACAGAAATGGCACAAATATTCAAATTTTCGCATTCCTAAATTTAAAAATAAGGGGAAATTATGAATTTTTTATTTATACTTATCATAACAATATTTAGTACATTTAGTTAAAGTTTTACTTTGGTTAGATTTAGTAAAAATTGATACTCATCATAAAGAAAAAGAATTTACCCTTACCTACCATACAGTGACATTCCTATGTGATGTACTAGTGCATGACATTTTTTATTTCATAATTTTTAATATATTTGGTATGGTGAAACCATTTTCATGTGAGTGGTCTAAGTTTTTAAATGCTGAAAGGACACTCATGATATTTGCATGCAGTTCTATTTCTTAATGATCGTAATGAGTGATAATTTAATAATCCTGAAAAAAAATCATTGGACTAAATATGTTTTTTAAGTGTAAATTTATGTGCAAATAATTAAGCCAGTCTAGAGCACAAATTCTGTTAAGATTCTGTGAATGAGATATTCTGTTAGAAAAAATTTGTTTTGATTAAAATATTTGACGACAGTCTGCATGGTAATGTTTCATCACTTAATCTGTGAACATCAAAAACCTGTTCCTAAACTGATATTTTCTTTCATTTGCATACATATTTGAATATTTCACTTTCATGTTGTGTATGAACTCTCAAACTTTAAAATTAAATCAGCCAGTCGATTTTTACCACATGGGAGTCAATCTTTTCATGTTTTAACTTAACATGACTTAACATTTATTAAATTTTAGTCATCATTTTTCCAGGGTTAACTTTTTAAATTATAAAAATTCCATAATGTAATTATTAAGGCATTTTTATAATTAGAAATATTATGTCTGCAACCAACAGCTATGAAAATAAGCCTGCATAAGGAATCTCATGGACAGGGTGTGTATCCTGTGGCAGAGTTCTCACATGCACAGAAATGCAGCAACAGCACGAAGAAATTTGCATAAGGCTGTCTATCCCTAATTCAGTGGCATTTCCTTGTATAAACCTTATCTGTAGAAAAGAGAAGTGCAGTAATCTCCTAGTTTACTCTGCCTTGACTTATATAACCCTGCATTTACATCATTTGCTTTTAGCTGTAGGAAATTATTGAAAAGGGGTCTCTTGTGCATTTCAGACAAGCTACATTAGGCTATTATGCATGCTTTTGATGCCATACAGTCACGAGAAGAGAGTAATTTATTTCATTGTGTTTCTTGTAGCCAGAATTTCAACATGAAGAGAAATGCATAGCCACAGCTAGAAGTGTAAAGGAAAGAATGCACAGGGACCATATTAAGCAGTTGGTTTATTCTGCAGTTCCTGTTTATTAACAAAGGATTTCTATATTATTTTTTGATATTTATACTTTGTGCATAATGATTGTTCCCAGAAGGTAAACCAAAAATCAATGAAAATCAATCTGGCTCAGATGATAATGATAAGTTAATAAGCAAGTATTTGTGGAGGTGATAAAATATATACTAAGTGAATTTAATGATTAATTGACATGACTTTGATTCTGAAATGTTATTATATTTTGTGATTTAACAATCAGCTGATAGTCCAGAAATTGCCCTAGTAATCAAAATATCACACAGTGAAGCAGATTTTTTTCAAGAGGTTTGGGGGATAGAAACAATTATTCATTGCAGACAACTGTTGGTTTGAAATGTTATTAAATTTTGTGATTTAACAACAAGGTGATTGTCCAGAAATCACCCTGATAATCAAAATTTCTTATTGCCAGCTAATTTTTTTCCAAGAGGGCTAGGGTATACAATCATTCATTGTACATAACAGTTAATTTATGCAGTTCAAACAGTGCCATAATTGGAATAACATTGCTTTATCTGGTAAAGTCATTAATGCCAATACAGAATCTGGCCTTTCATTCCGTACATGCTTGATGAATACAATAAAGTATGCTTTTAGACTTAACATTGGTGAAAACAGGGTTCTCTATGAAAAAGATATTCTAAAGAACATTTGTTATGCTGGGTTGAGAAAATGTTTCCTGATTTAAAATGTCAAAGATATTGTTTCATGCGATTGCAGCTGGTGACTGCAAACTGAAGACCGATGGATGATTTATTACTGAAAGACTTCACAAACTCCTAAGACCTATACAAGATATTTTCTCCCACTTTTCCTCATGCCTTGGTGATGTAACTGGAAGCACACTCAAAGTGTATTCGAGAGGTCCAGAGTTCAAGTCCCAGTGAGGGCACTGCACGGTTTACATGTCTCCTACTCCTCCCCCTTCCCCCCCCCCGAAAAAAACTAACGACTGTACAACTTGTTTAAAATCTAGCCTTTTTTCCTACTGAAAGTTAGGAAATTTATTTGGATAACTACTACCGTCTTTGAAAATTGACTACTATAATTTTATCCCAGAAGGTGAGTCTTATTACTAATCTCAAACTAGCCTTTTAAAGTTATGTGATCAAGTTGATGCACCCAAAATTTTAGATTTTGATTCAAAAGTAATAAATTCTGATGAAACATCATGAATTTATATCAACCAATAGATCAAGATCCATAAGCTATCGCATTAAACCTCTTTTGTTGCTTTTTGAATGCAGGCAAAAAAGCAATCCTGAGATAAAAGTGAAGGATATTTGGAAAATTGTGGTCATTTTGCATGTATTTCTAGTCATGGGAGACTCTTCTGAGAGGAAATTTTGCAAAGAAAATGAAAGATACACAGAAAGTTTTGCTCTTTTCCTTAACTGAAGTTCAAAATTGTTTAGCCAGTGCCATTTCTCTTTCAACTCATCTGTATTTGTTCATCTCCAAATATATTTTCCATGAATCTTTTCCTAAAATATTTGTGTATAAGAACTTCTGTTTGGAAGAAATTACCATTCTGGTAAGAAATAAACTGCTAGAGTGTTAACTTCCTGAAATGGCAACTCTGTACTTAGGAACTTTATAGTATCTAGCATTGTTTATATTTGCCCCTTAAGTTTTGGAGTGCCAGGTATCAGTAGCTTTTGTAATTTCCATTTAGTGTTTTTAACCATTTAGGTGCATTATATTTCTAAAATAACTGGTTTTTAACTAAGAAACCTAACAGGAAAATTCCTGACTTTTATTAGATTTAGTTTTGTCAGTTACTGTTTATTAAAATAATTGAACCAAATTATAATGTACACAGTATTGCTTATGTCACTTAATATATGTGTATGCTTGTTATTCAGATTTGAGCATGATATCCTGGAATAACCAAACTTTTATTGGAAGTTTTAGTGGAAAATTCTTTGTTTAGTGTTATATGATGCTACAATACTGTATTCTTTAATATTTTAGCCTGTTGTTTTAAATTAGTCTGAATAACATTTTAGCCCTTTTGTTGTATAATTATATAAAGAAAGGAAAATTGTTGGATATGTAGCATTTAAAGAGCAAAGTGGCAACAGTTAAAAAGAGCTGTGAGGAATCCCCCAAAATAATTTTTTTGTTTCAGACTTCTATACAGGACTTCTAGTCCTTTCAGGATTTTTTTCATAAGGTTATCTAATTTTGAAATTATGTTATATAATATATGCATTAATGGATATATATATATAGAATCTTTTTATCATAGAGGTGTAATGAAAACTTTTGTAAAGTATAAATGAAAATTGTGACCCCTTCCTTTCTTGTGCAAATTGTCCGCCAGAAAAGCATATCCCTGACTTACATAATCTTGTCCAATATTATTGGTCTAAGAATAAATGGATGCCTAGTTTGGGTATTATAGTAGCATTCATTTTTAGGATCTATTTTTGTGACTAATCCCACTTATCTGACCTAATTAGAACAAGCCCATGAATTTTGTGGCAAGGAGTGCAAAACTGCATCTGTTGTTGGCAGGAGCCTTGAGCACCATATTAGATGACAGTATGGCTTTGCCCACTTCTGCTGCAATTTTGAAGGAGAGAACCTGAGAACACAGGTTCAAGAGTATCCCACCCTTCTTTCCCTATCATAAAACTACTTTAGGAGATTTTTAGCATGCTTTATTTTTTAGTGCACAGACACTATGCGTTTACAAACATCATTCACACTGGTGCCTTACGTATGGCAGTCAGTGTCACTAACTGTCTGCCCAGTTTTATGCATCTGTTTACATATTTGAGCATTAAAAAAATCAAGTCTTGGAAATTTTGTGGTTTCAAGCAAAAGTTCTATATTTTTATATGTTGGTAATGCTGTATTGACTTGGACTTAAAATTCACAAATATGTGAAAGTTATTTTCGTTTATGTTAAACAGTTATTCCAGATTTCTGGAGTTCAGAAAGTAAAGTATCTGCCTTTTGGTTGTACTGTTCAGTCCTTTGAAGGAGGAATGAACCTTGAATTTTCAGTTTCCTGCATAATAACTGGTATATCCAAATATAGAGTATGTAGTAAAGGTTTTACTGTTTTTGTTTGAAGGTTGAGAATTTTGTTTGTATTTCAACGCTGAGAGTTTTGTTCTGAAATGAATTCCATCAAAGTACTCTTTGTTTGTTTTCCGTCAAAGTACTCGAAGTTTGTTATGTTTCCTATTTGTTATCCATGAAGTTTGTTTAGCTTTTTTTCTTGAAAGTGTTTTCTGTGCGAAGTATTCCTTTCAGTGCATGCAAATGTCAAATGTATTTTAAGTGTAACACTGAAGGCTAGATTGTTCATATTTCATTGAAATCTGATGATGTATTTTAATGAAGCATTACTATTTTGCATTATAAATTTTAAATTAGAGGCTAAATAATAATACAGCCATTTGTTTAAAAATTAATTGAATGAAAGAAGATTTTTAGAGGTGTTGCTTTTGATAGGCAGAGCAACAACAATTAAAAAGGTATCTGAACACCAATGCTGTTTTAGAAGTACTCCTGCATTATGTGGCATTTATTGTATTGTTTTGCATTAACTTCTGTAACTCTCTATAACTTTTACATTATGAGAATAAATAATTTTTAGGTTATTGATGTACAACAGAATAGGTCTCATGAACACTAAAATGACAGTTTCATTACCAACTGTGTTATCGCACCGTGAAGAGAATTAATCTTGCATATAATATCAGGAAGATTTTTTTAAAAGAACTCTAAATATGTTAAGAAAGTGATGAATTTCTTTTTAAGTATTAAAACTTGATTAACTGGAATTTTATGCTCTTAAGGAAACAGCGAATCTTCTGAGCTTGTGAGAAGTGACACAATTATGTCTCTGTGGAGACATTGGCAAAACTTCATATAAATGTTGTGATAAAGATATAACCAAAATTTAAAAAATAACTTGTGCCATTCCTTCATCAAAGACTATCACAAGAGATGAAATTACTTGAGTACTGTTAAAATCTTATTAAATGCAAATATATGTTGTACTGAGATTTGATATGTATTCTCTTTAGTTGCATGATTAAAACTTTTCAATTTTGCTGTGAGACCTCAAAAAATCATTAAATCTAGTAACAAACAAAAACAGTTACCTGGTAAAACTCCTGAATGATAACTGAGTGACAAATTGCAAGTTCGTAATGTATGTCAGCATGTTTCTCGATCATTTTTTCTTTTTTTTACTTTAAATTATATGAGGGTTACATCATATATACATTTCCAGAGAGGATATTTGAGTCATAAACAGTTGAGAGACACTCTTTTAGCTCTTTAAATGCCAAACTCTTTGCCATGCTCTGTATAAAAGCGTTATACTGCTTGAAATTTTATGCATTTTCTTTCTCTCTTCCCATTAACCCAAGAAACAGATTTGAAATTTTCAAATTATGTCAACCCAAGCCCATAATGTTCTCAAGTGATGATGGTTTTGGAGGAAGAGAAGGAAAAGGGGGGAAGTCCCTTTATGTTAAAAAGACTTCTTCAGGAGAGATAAATGTAAGCTGTAATTGTTAACGGAACTGCAGCAGGTTATCACCTATATATTTGCAATACTGAGTGGCCAGTAGACAACAGACTGGTGATCTTGGCCAGTTGATAATCTGTTAGATGATTGCATAAAAAGCCGTCATCTATCTTTGGTCCTGAACTGTTAAATAATGCAATTTTTTTATTAAGATAAATATTACAAATGGTTTGATGTTAATTGAAAGTTCATTTTTTACTTGCATAAATAAACGTTACAAAATGTACATTTTCTGGATATAAGTTATGTATTTGTTAAGAAAATGTGCTATAGAATATTTTGAAACAAGTGCATTTTATAGTTAAAAAAAGGTGTCATGTAAAACAGTTTTGTTAATACCTTAAAATGGTAGTACACTCCTTGGAAAATGTTTCTTTTTTGTGTGAGAACAAATGAAAGAAAATTTAATCAACGTCTTTGCAGAGGGCTAAGTGAGCCAATCAGAATAATCAGAACTTGAAATACTGACAGAGTTAATGAAAGTAAACTGCAAGGAAATTGTCAATGTAGAAATTTTCTTCCATGCTGTTTTCATTTTCCGTAAATTGAAGAAAGGCAAACAGTTATTTTATAACTTACTTTCTAGTCACTCTATCCTTAGGGAAAGGGGTTGACTCGATGCATTTTGTTCATTTTTGCATTTTATTTTGACAGTTATTTGTAAATATGCTAAATTAAAATATATTTCTTTTGTTTGTTTATTTGTGTAGGTTTTCGACTTTCAGTTATCAGAAGATGAAATGAATGTGCTGAATAATTTGCATGATGGTCGAAGAATTGTTGATGCATCAAGTATTCAAGAAAAAATTGACAGTGCATTACCTGATGGTTATAAATTGAACTTACCCAACTATGAAATTGATAAGTTAAACTATCGTAATCATCGTTAATCTAAATGGTGTGTCTATATCTGATTTTTTGGGGAAAACTCTCTGTAGTAGTTTAGATTTACAGAGAGCTTGTGTTTTTATTTAAAGCCATTGAAAGAAGTTATTATATTTAATTAACTGCCTAGAGAAGGGGAAAATATTTCTTTTAAATAAGTCAGTTTTATAATAGCTAGTTAGATTTCTTTCCCCATTGTTGTACAGTTGTAGCATTTCTAAATCATTCTGTAAAAAGCAAACATCAGTAGTTTTATTGATTTTCAAAGTCTGAGCTGCAATCATTATTTTTGTTGCTGTATATTTTTTTAATGTGGTTATGTATCCTATTTTAAATATTATTTAATCTCTCAAAATTTGAAATTTTGTTACTACAAATGTAGGGTTATGTAAGATGCATATTTTGTAAAAAAGAGATAAAATGGTAACTAAGTAAAAATTCTTTTGGAACCATTTTTGACCTAAAGCAAGTGTTTAATGCAAAATTGGTCATAACACAAAGCAGTATTATTAGTGTATTAACTGTTGTAAGTAAGTGTAAAGTTGGCAGTCTTTATTGATATTATGCAAAAACCTAGCAATTAACTCAGAGTTCTTCCATTATTGTAATATAAATACAATTTTTTTAAAAAACTCATTGCACCAGCAAATTCACTCATCACGAACAATTTTGGTGATTAAGATTAAACAGATTAAGCTCTTTTTTAATAGTAAGAAATGCATACAAGATCTTCAAAACTGCCTTATTCTCTACATAAGGTATAATATTTCTCTTCTCATAATTTCTGTGTATGATAAAATAAATCTTTTTTTTTTTTTTTTTTTTTTTTTTTTTTTTTTTTTTTGTTGTTGTTGTTGTTTAAATGGTGTGTAACAACAGCTAGATTTTTTATGTTATCTGAATAAATAACTATGCCAAAAAAGGAATGCTGTTGTGCAAATGACAGCTTGTCAAAATGATGTATTACTAATATCTACAAACTTATTCTAAAAGAGCTTCTAAAGCTAGAAACTACTACTAAAAGAAAACACTTTTAGTGTATGTAATATATATTTGTAAATATTATTTAGTGCATTATTTCAAATTAGGTATTTTCATTTTATAGCATGTTTGAAATTATATAAGTGAGTATTGGGTTAATGCACATGCACTGTGAGAGTACTGTGGGGAAAGAAAAAGTTTTATTCTATTTAAACATGAAGTATTTTGTAGATATGTGGAAATTTTGTCATCTGATTAGCAATAAAAGTGATTAAGGTATGTGTTAATATTTATTGTATAAAACCTTTTAGTGTTACTTCTTTAAGAATTTTTGCTTTCAAGTATCTGAGTAAGTAGGAGTATTTTATTTATTGAAATTTTTGTAAATGTTTTGACAAGTGATGGGGAAATAAGTGTTTTTACTTAATTTTCATTTCAGTTTTGATTAATATATTCCATTCGTGCATAATTATAAAATTTCATTAGATTATTTTGAAATTCTTTAATAGGATAAATCTGTTCAAATTGAACACAGTTTTATTTATACTTTCATTTTTGTGAGCAGCAGTATAAAAGATGTCATTTGGTGTATATTTTTCTGATTCAAGAATATAGGTTCACAAGCAGCACAGCAAGTTTAAACATGAGTAGCTATCTGCCCTCCCTTTTGAATCCTCTAATTAAATTATGATGCAGAATATCTAAGCTGACACAAAATTCTGAAGTACTTTCCTTTTAATAGTCATTAAATCTGTACGACTATTATCAGTTTAAATTATGTTCTTTGTAAGAGCTCAAGAGTTTAATCCAAATATCTGGCTTTTTTAAAACTACTTTTCCACTTCTAGTTTTTTGCTCATTGCCCAGTGTTCCTGAGTTAACACGGTTAAGTGGTTGATCTTCTAAACTTTTATTGGAAAGATTTGCATGTCAGACATATTTTTTTTACATCCTTTTTCTATGTGTTAACTTCTTGTTCTGTTCCTTTCATAGTCTGTTCAGAAGCTGAATACAAAGAAGTATGGCATATAAGTATGAAAGAACCAAATTAAATAACATAAAAGTATTATTATGCAGTAATGATATTTTAGTACAATGCTCATGAATCTCGTTTGAATTCATTTAAGATTATATGAGGAAAACATAAAATGAAGGAACAATAAAATTATGAGACACTATTTAAATCAACATAAATCATGCAACATACATTGTAGATTTGAGAGAACTGAAATTAATAATTTATATACCTGCTTTGTTTTTGTGTAGAATCAAAACTCGGCACTGATTCAAAGAAGGGCATCACAATGTTACAGAAAAAAAATTTGGGGGGGGGGCATTGGCTGCCGACATTTTCAGATTACAGTCATGGAAAATTCACTGTCCATTTTTGTAAACAGCTCTGCACAGAAAATGGCAGATATTTTTCCTAAAGTTCATGTCTGGGAAGTGTCAAGGCCTTCAATACCTGGTTCCTGATAACACCATTTTATTTAGATTGATGGCTGAAGGAATATTATTACTGCAGTGAAATATGCTAATTCTTCACAAAGAACATCCCTACAGGATGTTATGTAAATGCAGCGACAAACTCAGAGGGATGACAATAGACATCAGGAGGAACCAAAATTGCCATGGAATCACAAACTATGTTTAGTTGGTAAAAATTTTGAAAATACTCATACAAGGTCTGAAGTTGAGTGGGAGCCAAACACAAGTACAATATTAGTACAAAAGCCTTTTATTTCCTAGAAATGCCTACACAGCCTGTGACGTAGTGTCAGAAAGATGATATAGCAGTTTGTTCGCATGGCTTTAAGAAACAAAGGTTTTTATTTTACTTACAGTAGTACAAGTATTGCAAAATTAATTGCGTTAATTATTATATTAAAAATGATAATGTAATTTATCATACTAATGTAATAATTTAACACATAACTCTGGCGAAAGCATTTCTGTTTTTTCTTGTTTCTTACTTAAATATTTCATCTGTCTAGAAACTGCTTTTTTAGGTCCTGCTTCTCGGAGTAAATGAGCTTTAGCACTGTTTGCTTAAGTTGGCTCAGAGTGATCACAATGATACAAAGCAGCACTTAACATTCGAGTATATTGAATTTTGTTTCCAATTTTGGATTAAAAATGTCTAATTTGAAATGTCATTGTCATTGAAAATAAGAAAAGAATGAGTAATTTTTAATTTATAGCCAACAAAATAAATTGTTAATAATGTTTTCATTTTTACTTAATGAGTGCTTGATTTCTTTATTAAATTTCAAAAATATATTTGCTAATAAATTATACAATTTTCCTTTTTGCCATCTTGTTATAACAATGTTTCTGCTTCAAAAAGTATCATACTGAAATGTCTCATCAATTAAAATACAGTACTAGGAAAGACGAAATTTAAAATCATCACGAGGAAGAACTTCCAAAAAATAAGGAGATCGCGTCAAGTGGAACCCATGTAAAAGAAAATTAACTTTTGTAATGAATATCGAACTGATTTAGGAAAAAGGTTAATTTAAGTATGCTTGCATTTCAAGCATATAAATTTATTAAACGATGAGATGTTATTAAATGTCAAATGTTCTCTACAAACTACAGTCAAGTCGCAAATCAAGTACACCTTCTCAATATAATCGTATAGTTATGCGATTACTTGCACCGACTGTAGTATATGAAAGATCCATTTTTACTTTGAAAAATTATATTATTTTACATTTAAAATAATTTATATTATTTTACATTTAAAATAATTTAAGTATTCTATTTGTACATATAATACGTGCCATTGGTATCGCGTGTATACCGTATACGTTCATGTAATGTCCGCACTTTTTTTACTGAAATTCCATCACTGAAGTCAGGTACAGATTACATAAGTCGTTCAAATGTCATGCTTTTTCTCTTGAGTAATTTTGGGAGTAAAAGTTCTAAGTGGAAGAAAATGGCATAAGTAATAAAAGTATCAAATTTAAAGTTGTCTAATGGCTTTTTAAAATTTAAGAACTCGCTTTCTCCCATCCACATATAGTATAAATTACCCCGTTTATGTTATCAACACTCGGCACATATTAGTTCTCACAGTAGCACAATATAGAGGCACAAATTTACCAACACTTGCAATTTTAATATTTACTTTTACACAAATTAAATAAAAGTATATTCTGTTAATAGCTTGCACACATTATTTTTTTAAAAAAAAGTTTGTTCTGGTGCACTGTATGAAAATCCATTTTGTTTCGTAATTTGTCGCAAGCAGCCTTCACTTGCCTTGAAATGTGATGTAGGAATGTCTTCTCGTGCCACAGCAAGCGCTCTTATTTGACATTTTACCCATGTTACTGCGTACCCTTGAGCACCCATATCATGAACATGCGCATCTACTTTTTTTCCTAAGTTCAGAAACTTGCATTTTGAACCATGAAACACACATCTTGTTTTGTTTGTTGCTGCTAGTTGATCACGCTGTTTGCTTAAGTTGTGCACAAACATTGCATGATGAAGCACTTTGTTTTAAATTCTTCAGTTTTAGCAATCACTCGTTTTCTGAGAGTTTGTGTTGTGTGCTGCGTGGTTAGTTTGGAAATGAGAACATATACTTTTCTCCTTTTGCACAGCTATAATATCATTACATAATAAACATACTGCTTTGCCATTAAATTTTATGACAAAATTATTCACATTCCATTCTGCTTTAAAAGCACTACATTCCCAGTCTACTTTTCTCATTTTTTCTTTTATTAAGAGTGACATGGCAACGGTAGGTACAAATTAAACTGAAGCGAACAAAACATTGCAGAGCATTGATAGTCAGTAAACACGGACAGACATGACAGGTAATACCATAAGCATCGCTAAAACAAAACTGACTGAACTGCCAATTCTTATTCTGTGGCAGTGGTCTCAAACTGGCGGCCCACGAATACATTCAACGAGAAAAAAAAAAAGACGAAAAAATGATATGAAGCTGAACACACATATTAAGAAGCTTGGTTATATACAAAAGCTGAGGGGAAAAAAACATGTCAAAAGAATATTAAAGCTTTAAAAGTTTACGTAATGATGGCTTTTGTTGTAAGAAATTTTGTATTATGTATTTTTATTGAATCTGTATTACATGAAATGGATGAAAATGCTATCTGCCCAACAGTTATATGTTCTAAATAATTATTTAAATACAATCGTAATTTTTTTTTTTTAAGGAGGAAAACTTTGCAGTATAGCATGCAACTATATAACATCCTATGTCACTATTAGTTACAACGGCGCATTTTAATAAAATACATTTTTTGTTAATAACGAACCACATTACAAATAGAGAACATTTAGCAAAAGTGTAGCAGAATGCGAGCGCCACTTAGTGGTGAATTTCGCGAAAGCCACTGAAAACTGGGAACCAGAATTTCGTTCAGCCTGGCAGGCCTTGAGTGTAAATTGGCCTTGATAGCATTTACTACAGTCTCAAATCCCAACCAGATCTTTTTTATGTTTGCCACCTGGTGAAGTCCAATGAAAAGAGCGGAGGGTGAATGAAGATCCTGAATACTGAGCTAAAACATTTGTTGCCATTTTTGTCCACGCAAGTTTAGCGAATTTCACGGGCGGAGGGTAAAATGCAGTTATCCGATTACTTACTCTAATAATATCATCCACTTCTTTATCAACCATTTCTTTCCATCTAATGCATTGACTGTTGGATTTCAAAACAATGTAGTTTGTATTTACTTTACTTTAATTTTATACTTATAATTTTACAATACTTATTACTTTTACCTTTTGGCCACTAATAATTGTTGTTAGTTTGGTTTCATGAGAGTGGCAACAGGGCAATTCTTAGAATTAGGAAAAACGTGTTTCTGTAGTTATTTAGGCTTATTGAAGATTAGTTGTATGTTATATACCTGAGTGATGTTTTTTTAAATAAATGAATACTTTAGAATATAGTAGTCTCTTTAGAGTCCTTGATACGCTGGTAGTGTAATAGTTTGACGCATAAGCCAACATTTTAGTGGTACCCTCAGCGGGACATAAGAGACGTTAGTTTGAAATTCTAAAGTATAAAAATGGAAGCTAAAGAAGCTATTAAACTTGAAAAGAAGATTCACAGAGCTGCTTTTACAAAATGCTTCGATGTTTTAGAAGAAATTTAAAGAAAAGTGAGATAAATTCTTCAGAATTACAGTCGGAGCTTAATGTTTTTGTTTCGAAAGTTCAACGTTTGGAAGATACGCATGTGTGTTATCTTAGCACACTGTCCGGAAACGAAATTGAAGCAGAATCGAAACTAAAGTGAAAGATATTCTTCACAATCTACAAAATGTAAGTACTTCAAATTTAATTTTGAATGAATCTGTTAATGAGAATGTATGTAAGCGAATGTACATTTAAACTTCCAAAGCTTGAATTACAAAAATTTGATGGGGAAATTAAGGAATGGTTATTTTTTTGGAGTCAATTTGAAAAAATTGGCAAAGATAGTACGATTTCTGATAGTGATAAATTTCAATATTTATTACAAGCGACTGTTGAGGGTTCGCGTGCAAGGGAGGTTATAGAAAGTTTTCTCCCTACATATGCTAATTATCCCAAGGCCATAGAATGTTTGAAGGCTCGTTTTGGTCTACATGACTTGCAAGTGGAAGTTTATGTGAGAGAATTGTTGAAATTGGTCCTGAAAAATGCAAATTCTAGTAATTCCTGTAATAACTTATGTGCATTATATGATAATTTGGAACAACAAATTCGGGCTCTGGAAACCCTTGGCGTCACTACAGATAAAAGTGCTGCATTACTTTATCCTTTAGTTGAATCTTGCTTGCCTGAGGATTTTTTAAGAGCCTATCAAAGAAGTGCAAATGTTGACCATGGTACAGACACAAAATGTAAACTGGACAGTTTATTAAAATTTTTGAAATCAGAAGTAGAATCCGAAGAACGCATAAGTTTAGCAATGGCTGGTTTTGGTTTGAAGAACGAAGTGACCTGTGGGATTAAATCTATTAAAACTTTTCACGATCGACCATCAACGGCAGCAAGTTTGTTGAGTACTGATTCTCCCGCTAAGAAGTGCGTGTTTTGCAGCGGAAAACATGATTCATTTAATTGTTTTAAGGCTCAAAAAATGCCATTTTCAGAGAGACAAAAGCTCAAAAGATAAAGGGGACTGCTTTCGCTCTTTAAAGGCTGGTCACTGAGTAAATAAATGCAGGAGTTCTATTAAATGTGCAATTTGCCATAAAATTCACAGCGTAATTATGTGTTTAGAATTGCTTAAAAATAAAACAAATGTTAAGAAGCCTATGTTAAACTGCAATGAAAAAGAAACTGGCAAGGAAGAAAGTTCTGTAAATCTTTCTAGTATTAGCAACACACCACAAGTACTTTTGCAAACCCTGAAAGTAAAAATAATTGGAAATAATTGTACACTTTGTATTCGAGCTTTATATGACACAGGATCTCAAAAATCGTATTTAAGGAAGGATTTAATTTCTACTTTGGGCCTGATACCTTCTAAGCAACAGATTTTGATCCACGTCCTTTTTGAAGGAAAACGAACACCTGAAAATGTGCATAATGTCTACAAAATTAAGCTAAAGAGTTTAGACGATAATTTTACTTGTACTTTTGATATTTATGAGCAAGATACAATTTGTGACGCTGTACCTTCTGCCTTAAATGGGCCATGGATTAAAGAACTCAGGTCCATGAATATACCATTTTATGACACTGAAGATTCATCAGGGCCTATTGATCTTTTAATTGGTGCAGATGTGGCTGGTCGACTTTTCACTGACAGATAAATAGTACTTTCTAGTGGTATTGTAGCCATGGAAACTTACCTGGGCTGGACATTGATTGGTAAAACATCGGTGAATACTGAAAGGGAACATACGGCGATGACCATTGTAACAATGTTTGTGAAAGATGCCAATATTTCTGACCTTTTTCCTTAGACATCTTAGGAATATCTGATCCAGTCGAAGTAAAATCACGAAAGGAAAAGGAATTTCTTACGAAGAAATATTTTCAAGAGACTACGAATCAATGATGATGGGCAGTACGAAATTGCCTTACCGTGGAAAGACGATCATTTGCCTCTCCTAACCAACAAAGATATAGCGATAAGAAGACTTCAAGTCTCAACAAAAAAGCTAAATTCAGAAAAATTATTTGATACATATGATGATGTCTTTAAGCAATTAACTGAATTGAGAATAATAGATGATGTCAGATGTGCATGATTCACACTTTCTTCCTCACCAACCTGTAGTTAAGGAACATGGTACTACCAAAGAACGTCCAGTGTTCAATGTGTCTGCTAGGCAAATTGGATCTCCATCTTTGAACCAGTGTCTAGAATCCGATCCCAATTTATTAGATCTCATTCCAAGTCGAGCAGTCTTAGATTATCATTTGGTAAAATATTTGAATGATGCCAGATATAATCAAGATTATGTTAAGATTCTTCTTTCGAGTTTCTATGTTGATAATTTAGTAACGAGCTTAAATGATACATGTGATATATTACCCTTGCCATACTGAGTGAGGGAAAATTCAATTTGAGAAGCTGGCAGTACACTAATGATAATGGTCCTGAACCATTTACTTCTGTATTAGGACTTTTATGGGATAGAAACAAGGATACTCTGATGATAAATCTGGACTGGTTAGACAGCTATAAATTCGAAACTTTGACCAAAAGATTAATTCTTTCTGTCAGTCATAAGGTGTTCGATCCAGTTGCTTTATTATGTCCTGTTTTTGAAGTCAACGCTAATATAAAAGAAGAATTTATAAGCTGGTTTTCAGAACTTCATTTGCTGAAGGAAGTGACCATATCACGGTGTTTTTCAATTGATCCAAGTAGACAAAACATTTCTCTGCATACGTTTTGTGATGCTAGTCATTCGGCCTTCGCAGCAGCTGTTTACATTCGTGTGGAGACATCGGAGAATGTCCAAGTTCATCTCTTAGCAGCCAAAGCTAGAGTGGCTTCTGTAAAACCCATGACTATGCCTCGATTTTGAGTTGATGGCTGCTATGGTGTGAGCTCGTTTGTGTGCATCTGTTGTGGAAGGGCTTCAATGGAAACATGTTGAACAGCATTATTGGACTGACTCAACGGTTGTTTTAGGGTGGATTCAACGTAAAGAATCCTGGACGGTATTTGTGAAGAACAGAGTGAATGAGATAAATAGTTTAACGGATCCTCTTGCATGGAAACACCTTCCTGGGATCCAGAATCCAGCTGATTTGCCTTCTCGAGGATGTTCGGCTAGACAACTGTTATCAAGCAAATGGTGGGAGGGCCCTACTTGGTTATTAAAACCTTCTTCTAACTGGCCCATCACAGAACAAAATTTTGGTTAACATTCTATAGCTAAGGAAAAGAGAAAAACAAAATCTGATGGGCATTTTTCTATCTGTTCTCTAAGTTACTCAAATACTTGTAGCTGCAAAACTTATGAAAAGAAAAATGGATGCAGACATTACAGATCAAGTTCGTATTATTATTATTTTTCAAGCTATGACAAAGTGATATGGTTGATTGCTTGGATAAAAAGATTTATCTTTAATTGTCTAAGTGCAAAGTCTTCGCGAATTATTGGACAGTTATCCTACGAAGAAAACAAAAATGCAGAAAAGAAAGTCATACTATTAATACAAAACGAATACTTTTCTGATCATTTAAACAAAAGAAAATTAGAATCTTTGGCAACATATAAGGATGAAGAAGGAATTATTAGACTGCGAACAAAAATTACATTTCGGAAGGATACAGAAAACTTTAAACATCCTTTTGTTTTACCGGGAGAACATCAGGCTGTCAAAAGGTTAATTACAACAGAACACCAGAAGAACTCTCATGCTGGTTCTCAAATATTGTTGAATATTCTAAGAGAACATTATTGGATTTTAAATGCGAAAAAAGTCATTAGATCTCTTTTATCCAAACATGTTACTTGTTTAAGGTACGCAAAGAGAAATTTAACGATACCGATATCTGCATTACCAGAAAATCGCGTAAGAGATGCATCTATTTTTGAAATTATTGGAATTGATATGGCTGGACCTGTGTATTTAAAAGGAGAAGAAAAGACTTGGATTTGCCTATTATACGTGTGCTGTGTATAGAGCTGTGCATTTTGAACTCAGTTCCTCACTGTCTACAGAGGCTTTTCTCCAGAGTTTCCGTCGTTTTATAGCCCGCAGAGGCCGTCCTTCTGTAGTTTATTGCGACAATGGAAGCAACTTCATTGGAGCATCAAATTGTTTGAAACTCGTTGATTGGAATGTCGTTGCTCAATACACCACCACTAAGAAAATTCAATGGCTTTTCAATCCCCCAACTGGCTCTTGGTGGGGCGGTTTTTGGGAGCGATTGGTTGGCTTGATGAAACAAATTCTTAGAAGAGTTTTGGGGAAATCTCTGCTGTCTTTTGAAGAAATGACAACAGTATTGTGTGACGCTGAATTTGTTATTAACTCTCGTCCACTTACCTATGTTTCAGAAAAGGAATCTGAACTTGTTCCTTTATCTCCTAACTCATTTTTGCAAGATTTCCGAAAGTCAGGCGTTCCTGATTTGGATGAGATTGATCAGCATTCCCTCAACAAGAGATTAAAATATCGTCAACAACTAATCACGGATATACGAAAAAGATTCAGATCTGAATACCTAGGACTTATGATTCAAAGACACGATCAGAAGAAGCATGAGCAAAATATCAAACTTGGAGACGTAGTTCTTGTTGGAAGTGATAGTGTTAAATGTACTGAGTGGCCATTAGCCGTTGTTACAGAATTGTTACCTGGAAGAGACAATGTCATTAGATTGGTACGATTGAAAACCACAAATGGGCAACTTTTACGTCCCGTACAAAGAATTTTTCTTTTAGAAATTTCATGTAATTGGTTCAAAGATCTAAAAAATGAAAGATTTGAACAAGCTAGGGTTGAAGGGTATTCAGTGGAAAACAGCCAAAAAGATTAAATCTTTAAAAACGAGGAGTGGAAGCGAAGTGAAGCCTATCCAAAGACTAGGCTTATAGACTTTATAAATGTTTGGACTTTAATTCAGTTCTTTTATGTTTTTCCGTTAAGTTTTTCTTTAATATTTCTAATAGGTTAAGTTGTTTCCCAACAACTTAAGGTGGGAGGATGTTGGATTTCAAAACAATGTAGTTTGTATTTTGTATTTACTTTAATTTTATACTTATAATTTTACAATACTTATTACTTTTACCTTTTGGCCACTAATAATTGTTGTTAGTTTGGTTTCATGAGAGTGGCAACAGAGCAATTCTTAGAATTAGGAAAAATATGTTTCTGTAGTTAGTTAGGCTTATTGAAGATTAATTGTATGTTATATACCTGAGTGATGTTTTATTAAATAAATGAATACTTTAGAATATAGTAGTCTCTTTAGAGTCCTTGATACGCTGGTAGCGTAATAGTTTGACGCGTAAGCGAACATTGACGGATACGAAATTTTATTTTCCAAAGCTTTTCGAGAAATTAGTTCACAAATGACATAAAAAATTACGATCAAATATGCTGACATCTTGTAATAAAGCTTTTGCTAGTATCATTGCTGATAGTAGTAAAGTTTAATTAAAATGCGGTTTTAATTATCAAATGATTTAGCAAAAGAAATTTTTCAGTGCAATTTTATTATAAATATGTATAAAATATGAATTTGTTTCATACCGTATAATTGGAATATTCTTTGCACATTGTGTTATTGTTATAATTATTTAATTATACTTCTTAAATTTCACCAAACATGGGTGAATATTTGTGTTTTCAGACATTATCTTTAAGCTTGATGTATATGTTTTTCATATTTACAATGTAATTACATATCATGTTACGTAGAGTTAATTCACAAATGAAATTACTGCATGACTTAAGATTACGGTACGTACAAAGTAAAGGTGTTAATTTTCCTGGCAGTTAAAGATTTTGGAATAAATAATGCTATGCTATGTATCATGATAATGCTATGTATTCACTACCTAGCATCAATGCAATTTTATTCGCAAAAAATACTACAGGAATTCATTACCTATAAAAGTTCTGATGAGCTGTTTGTTACATTTTCCTCCATCTTCATGCATTTAAAAATGCTTGGTTTAATCCTAGTATATGGTACACTTGGGATTACAATATATTATGTAGTTGCAATTAAACTACATCACAAAAAGTAGTTTAATTGTTTGCATATGAAATACTTAAAATTGCTTAGATTTGTTTTTGGACTCTTGTAATTGTTATTTGCATAGATCTTGTGTTAAAAATGGAAACATTGTCTTCAACTGTTTTTTCCTCTATTTGAACTTCTGAACCTCTGATTGTTGCAAAATCAATATCATTAAAATATTTCTTAACATAAAATAATTTATTCAAAATAATAATTAACTCATATAACAGTTTGGAAACTCGAAAATTTTGTTAAGATATGGCAGGCATGTTGCTGTCCTTAATATTTTGTGTTGAATGAAAATACATCAAAATTAATGTGTGTACCCAAGTAGCACTGCCCCAAACTGCTCCGAGAGGTTGTTAAGTGGTCGTGGTAACTTTTACGACGGCTTTACAACGTTGCGAAGACGCAAAATATTTGCCGATGTATCTTGGCAATTTCTCGGCGTCGCTGAAACGTCATGATTTGACCGCTTTTAGACGTGGTCGTTTTAGCATCCTTTTCATAGTTCATCAGCGTTACTTTTAGAACGAGAAGAGACTAAATTTGCCCTTTCAAGAATCTGAAGTCCGTATAAGATTTATTTTGCAATGTTTTATTACTGTATTTCATCTAAATATATTAATGTAAGGTAGATTCATCTAATGAAATATAGATTTAATATAAATACTTGAATTATTACATTTAATTAGTACTAAAAATACGTGCTAAATTATTGTTAAAATAATTAATACTTAAAATATTTTTATAAATATTATAGCAAAATATTTAAAAATTAAACTAATCTATAAAGGAGGTAAATTATTAAGTTATGCATTTTATATATTTTAAAAAATCATATTTCCGAAGTCAATGCAAGTCACATGTTAGCAATTATTTTACTGCTGAAATATGACTTTATTATTTTTGAAGTAAGGACAAATTTATTTGAATTAATATGCTGACATAATATGAAAGATTTTTACCGCATACAGAGCAAAAGTACAATTTTCACGAAGATATAATTGTACGAGAAGATGTATTCACGATTATTATTGGGATGATTTTAAGAATTCCGAGAAAACGTCCAATATTAAAAAACGTTGCATATCCATGCATATTTAACGGCTGTCCAAAATATCTCAGAAGAAACAGAACGAAAAAAATTAATGGAAAAGGAGAAAGAAATATTAACACTTTTAATGGAAAACGACAAAATTAATAGCTTTGATAAATTACTAATAAATGTTGACATCAAAATTAGAGAAACTGTGAACAAAAATACAGAATTCATTACCTATAAAAGTTCTGCTGAACTGTTTGTTACGTTTTTCTCCACCTTCATGCATTTAAAAATGCTTGGTTTAATCCTAGAATACGGTACACTTGGGATTTGGCAATATTGACTTTACAAATGTTTTAGCGAGCCTGATAAATATGTTTTTGTAAATATAATCTTGTGAACATTGTTCGTAATTCTATTCAGTTGAAATAATTCTTCTATGCCATTTTAAAAAGATTCTATTAAATTATCAGATGAACCGTCGAAAGGTTTAATGCCCTCGTATATAAAACACTGAAAAGTTTAGACTGAACTGCTGTTCGAGAGATTGACATTCAATGTACATATCATTTTCCTAGATGATTATATAAAGAAACATCTGAGGTCGAGGCTTGCGCGCTTTGGCTAGCTGCCAAATTCGAACAACTCAGTTAAACGCAGTGGCTAATCGCACCGACGGTGCGAATAGCTAACAGGCTATTCACACCACCTATGTTCGCGCATGCGCACAATCAGCCCAGGTACCAGCGTTTACCAAAGAAAGTATGTATGTATATACATATTCTTTGGTTTGGTGTAAGGCAGGCGGTAGTGAGAGCGAAGGTTGTTAACCCTAATTCAGCAATAGAAAGGGTTTTTAATAGTTCACCAGCAAGAAAATAATTTGTAAGTAATAATTATCAGTTACTAAGACGAGGTCAATCTATATACATGATAATGTTGAGGAAATGATTAGATAAAATAGGGATTTAATGATGGTTCTAATTGCAACGAGTAATTAGTTAAAAAATCTTTAGTGTATTGACAAAAAGGCTACAGAAATTACTTAAATTCTTTTATTTAACAGAGGAATTTTTATGCAAACTTAGACCCTATTCTTATAGCATAGGACTATCAGAATCTATTATTCAATAAGAAAACTTACTGAAAATGATAATATTCTTATATATTCATCACTTTTTCAGTATGCACATAGGTTTATAGGTTCAAATGCCATATTTCAAAATCAAAGTTATTTATGAAATAAAACCATAGAAAATATGATAAATAGTTTGTGTGTGCAAATTTTTAAATCAAAATCTCTTACATTAAATTATTTCTGTCTTTTAAATTACATCCCATTATTTATTTCAATTTAATTGATTAATGTGTTTGTACTAATATTTCAAAGTTCTTTGAAGCACTTTTTGTGTTCTGAAAATGCCAAGTATTTCCATAAAAAAATAAGCAGGCTTACAGAATAATTAATTTAATAGTTGATATAATCGCTTTTAACTTATTTCGTGTCTAAATTTTCTACACAGAAATCCTCTGACTAATTTTTAGTATCTTTTATCGGACGAAATTTTTCAAAGAGGAATAAATTAAAGTCTTGATTGCGCAAAACACATCTTTAAAGCTAAATGTATTCTAAGAAGTACAAAAAATGTAAACAAGATTTTGTCCCCCCCCCAAATCAGTCATTTAAACTATTCAAACAGTTCAGGAAAAGGATGAACATTGCGAAGATAAAAATCTGTCCTTTTTTATATATACTTTAATAAAAGGAAATGTGTTCCTTCTTTGTATAAAAAAAGAAACCCATTTCCCCTTGTAAACTTTTGAAAGTCGCCAACGTTTAAAAAATGATAAACTACGCCAAGGTAGAAACTCGCCTTTTTTTTTAAAAAAAAAAAAAAGGTTCACTAGAACAGTTCGTGTGCGTAGAATCCGTTCCTTTCAATTGGGTACTATTGACGGATCTGACAACAGTTAGCGGGGCAATAATTTCAAACTTCATTTTATTTTCAGAAATATTTTCTTCACGGTTTTGTATTTCTGCGTCGGAATTAAATACTGGAGAGCTTCAATACAGCAAGAGAACGATGGAAGAGAATATAATGATGGCAGTTTATTATGAATTGAGGAGAAATCAAGGTGGTAATGCCGAATTTCTGCTTATTTTGTTTGTGAATATCTGCTCTACAATGCAATGTGCTACGTCCTATGGGGAGATAATGTTCTGTTTCGGTGTTTTATGACTTTCCGGTAATTAAAATTATATTGTGGTTTTCCAATCTTCAGTGGCTCCAGCGGTGCAATATGTGGATACATTGATTATCGTTATATTTGGATACACGGATTCCGTTATGACGTATTAAGTTCTATATCGTATATCACTCATATTAAACGAACAGGTTGGTGCTGAGACTTTCCGCATATGATCTAAAAAATAGTGTTATAGGATTAGTATGAAATATTGTAATCTATAATTATGCGATATTTAAATGTGTAATATTAAAAAGCACTATTTTTTTTGTGCAAGATTTTTTTTTTTTGGTAGCTTTTTACAGGTAAGCTTTTTTTTTGTTTTGCTGAAGAGTGAATTGGTTTTCAGGATATTTTCGTCATTTTTGAAAAAAAAATTTTAAATAAAAGTGTTATTCTTAAGGCCCGTCTACACGTACCGATTTTATCGGCCGACTTTCTCGTACGATTTTATCTGCGAGAGCTTGCTTGTCCACACGCAACGATTTTGTCGTCGGTACAGGAAATGCCTTAACCAATCACTGTCCGAGGAAGAATTCCCGCCCTATGTAGCGTCACACTATCAACAACTGTGAAAACAAAACTGTGCGGGAGTGAATTTAGGCGACAATAATAAAAATGGATGAAGATTTCCCGTTAATTGCTACTGTAGCAACATCTGCGATTTTGATCTCCTCGCTGCTGCTGCTGCAGAAGAAGAAAAAAGAAAGCGTATTTGGACGAGAAATTGGGTGAAACGCAGAGAAATTCATGGAGCCCATAATACCCTGTTCCAAGAGCTGCGTTTTGAAGACAGGGTGGAATTTGGAAAGTATTTGCGAATGATGCCGTGCGATTTTGATTATTTATTAAACTTAGTGAGCAGCAAAATTAAAAAACAGGATACGATTATGCGTTGTGCAATTTCACCATCTGAGAGGCTGCATGTTACTTTACGCTTTCTAGCTGGTGGTAAGTTAATTTTTATTTTATTGAAAAAAAAATCAATTAATTTTTATAAAATTAATAAATCAAATTCACAAAAATTGAAATACAAATTCAAACAATAATTTTAACCACAATTTTTTAAATTTTGAGAAATTTATAATGAATAAATATAATAATTATATCACTACATCATTTTTAATAAATTTATTTTTTAAGTTTTTTATTATGTTACAGGGTGTTCCTATTCAAATTTACAGTATTTGTTTAGAATACCTAAACAAACATTGTCAAGAGTGATACCAGAAGTATTGGATGCTTTATGGGAATGCATGCAAGATTACATAAAGGTGAGTTAAAACTTAATATATCAATGTTACATATGAGGTCTTATAATTCACAACAACATCATGACCTTTTAATTTTTTTAAAAAAATGTTCATTTTTACAGGATCAGGATACTAATGTTAAGTTGAATTTTTCTCAAATTTGTAATATTGAATTAACTTCAGAGCTTGTTTTCCTTGAAATGTGATTCATTTAAAAAGAGTATTACAGGAGTGCAATGTATAATTTTCTATTTAGAATTAAGAGCCCCACCAGTGGTTGAGTGGTTAAGACAACTGAATACTGGTAGTTCGACCTGGCTTGGGTTCCGTCCCAGGCGAACAGGTTGGCTGCATGGTTGGTTTTTGTGGTTACCCCATGTGTAACATAAATATGAGCTAGTTTCCCTTAGAAAGGCCTCTACGAAGGTATCCCTCCTCTTACGCAGATAGTCCTCGAGGCTTTGCGATATTTAAATTTAAGTAACCTATTTACAATTAAAGTCATAAAATAATAGTTGCATTGGGGTATCTGGATAACGGATAACTTTGAGTTTTTTCTTTGTAAGTACTAGCAGAGAGAGATTTAGTATAGCAATTGGAATTTCATTACTCATGTAACATTCTCTTGAAAATGTTATGCAAACACCGTACTGATGAAATGTCTCTCCAAGTTATATTTTACACTAACCATTATACTTCAGTTGCATAAGCATGCACTTTTTACCATGTAATAAATCAGGGCTTTTTAAACTTTTTTGATTGACACTTTTGATTTTATGGTGGTTAGAGATGAAAATGTCTCTCACTAATATGTTGCAGAAAAAGGTAAAAGTTTATGGCAGTTTCAGAAATTGTTGGAAATCTTTTGCAATTGCTAGCAAAAAATCTTCTGAAGACTTCGTATTAAAGATAAAGTTTCAATCCCGAATTATTTGATAAATCAGCAAGTTCTTCTTGTGATTTTAATGGCAAATGAGTAATATTTTCCACATTAATTCTAAATAGTTTCACAATCCATATTAGTTCTTTGACACTAAAATTTGAAGGGAAATATTTCTTAAAGTTTTTCTCAAGACATCATCTTTTTGATTTATCTATTTCATCATTTTCATTTAAAAATTCAGTTGTTGCGACAAACATTTCTAACAAACCCTTTTCCATCATAGTTTTCCATATGGTCATTTTCTTAATAAAGCATCAATTTTTAATTTGAATATGACTATGTTGCAACCTTTTTCTTGAAACGACAAATTTAGATCATTTAGTTTTTCAAATATGTCACTCAAATAATGCAGCTTTTGTAGCCATAACTTATTATGAATTAAATTCGCAAAATCAGATTTTTGTTCAGTTAGAAAGAGAACTTTATGTATTGCCTTATCTTTATCTATTTTCAGATACATTGTGTAAAAATATTTGGTAATTGTAAAATTATTGGAATAAGTTAAAGGATTATCAAAAACTGCTAAAATGTTTTGGCGACCTCCAATGGGGGTCGCGACCAACAGTTTAAGAAAATAATTTTAAGTTATAAATGAAATTGTTTTTCCCACTCAACATTAAAATATCTCGTCAGCTTCTTAAAATTTTAACAATTGTTTTGCAGGCACCAGTTTGTTGGTCCATGCTCTAGATTATAATTTGACTCAAATTCTAGAATGAACCATTTTCAATGGGAATGTCTGTCGTAATGTTGTTTATGCTTTTCAGTATATTTAAATAAAATTTTAATTTATAAGAAGAGATATGATTATTTGATTTTGGAAAAAATCATAATAAACATTGTTTTATAATTAGGGAGGCATCTAGCAATAGAATGTAGGAACTGCAGAGATTGCATTGGACAGCAAATTGACAACCTAGTATCAACCCTGTATAAAACACATAATGAATCTGCTAAATTGACCACCTATGGGTTCATCCAAAATTCTTCAATAGACACTTTTAGTTTTGAGTTTTCTTCAAATTAAGAAGCATATATATTCAGTTATAAAATGTTTAAACATCTTGTTTAAATGAAAATTCTGTTTCTGTGTACAAACAAGCATAAGCCCTTTTTGTTTATTGTATTATTGTTTGTACAACAACAACAGCTTATTTTTTAATCATTTATTTTCCAAAAATTATCAGTTTTTCTGTCTGTATGGGTATTGTGATCAAAAACATTCATTTACCCACAGTCACTTAGCTTTAATTCCATTTATTGTATCTGACACATTCATTACTTTAAAAACTTTAAATAGAATCTATGGTGTAGCTTAATCAAAAACAAGAGAGAAAAAAATGGGGAAAAATTAGATAAAAAGTGAAACATAGGAACACAACCAAAATATATAAGCACATTTTTTTATCTATTTCTTTGATGTGAATTTTATTATAACAAATGAGTAGCTAATATTCGTTGATAAAATATTTGATTTTACTATTTGCCAATATTTAAATAGCATTTTCTGCATTTATATTTTGTATTCGCATCCTTTTTTCAGTTTCATAATTAATACTTATTTTCTCATTTCGTAGACACCAAACACTGCTCAGGAGTGGCAAGCCATAGAAGAAGCTTTTGCTGAAAAGTGGAACCTGCCACACTGTGTTGGTGCCATCGATGGAAAACACGTTATGATAAAAGCACCAGCAGGGGGTGGCAGCACTTTTTACAATTATAAAAGTTTCAACAGCATTGTGCTGATGGCATCAGTTGATGCAGATTATAAATTTACATTTATTGATGTTGGATGTAATGGACGAATATCAGACGGAGGAGTTTTTGCCCAAACAAGTTTATTTTCGATGCTAGACAATAACTTGCTTGATCTGCCCAGCCCAACACCTTTGATTCCAGGTAGTGAGCCTGTGAATTATTTTATGGTTGCAGATGAGGCGTTTCCTTTGAAATGTTATCTGATGAGGCCATATCCTGGTAAAAAATATCTCTCCTCAGCAAAGGATTTTCAATTATCGACTGTCCCAGGGCAAGGCGTGTTGTTGAAAATGCATTCGGGATATTATCAAATAGATTTCGTATCTTGATGCAACCAATACAGCTGCCTCCTGCGACAGTTGATAAAATTGTTTCTGTATGTTGCTGTTTGCATAACTTTCTACGAGAAAGACCGTCCAGGCAATTGTATACACCAAGAGAACTAATCGATCATGAAGATGAGGACTTTAATTTTATACCTGGATCATGGCGAAATGAGGAATCGCTAAGTAAGATGAAATCCCTGTGTAAACAAAATGGTTATAACACAGGGTCTGCTGAAGCAAGGCTAATGCGAGAAAAAATTTGTGATTATGTAAATAATGAAGGAAAAGTTGCATGGCAAGATAAATTTATAAAATATTATTAATTTCTCAATATATGTTATTCAATTTATGTTCCCTGATTTCTCAATATATGTTATAATAAAAGATAAAGAAATAAAGATTATTTATAAGTATTTTTATTTTATGTTACAAAATAATGTGGTAAGTAATAAATATATCTAAGTTTCTTATTTATTCTGTGTTGTTCATGGAATCTAATACATTTTGTTCTGTCTGTGCATCTGTGAGAATTTGGTATATTTTATATTTTGTGTCTGTGAGGAGTTGAGGGTCACGGATTAGACTTAGTTCGGAACCAACAAAGGAACCGAACTGTGTAAATGTATTTGGAGTAGTGTTTTTTGATTTTAATATTGTAGAAATTTCTTCCAGTGTTGTTGTGGCTGCTGTGTAAATGTGATCGTGTTTCTGTTTTTTGTTTGAAGTTGTAGTGTTTGATGTGTGTCTTTTTAGCTGTGGTAGTGTTTGTGTATGACATAGTTCTCTCTGTGTCTCTTCAGTGTCTTCAAAATCGTTCATGTCAAACATCTCCTCAGAATGACTGGTAACTTCTGCACTTCTTTCTTGTGTACTAGTATCATTAAAATCCTGAAAATTAAAATAACACTTTAATTTTTACTATTACAGCTATCATTCATTCATATATAACAAATCATAATTAACAAGCTATGGGAAAACATGCAGAAATAAATATTTATAAGGATAATGAATATATTTCCTAAGCTTGATTTTTCAAGAGATATCAAAGTTGAATAGTCAAATATCTTGAATAAGAATACGAAAAAACCTCGTAATTCTGCTGTCTAAGTTGTAGCGTATTTGGTATCAATAAAAACATGCAATACATATATTTAAAAGAAAATATATAAGAAGTTAATGCTTATGTTTAAGTATGTTAAAAGTAACAAAATATTGACTAACTTATGTCTGATTTAGCTGTGAATATAAGTTTATCATTGAAAATGGTATATATATATATATATATATATTTAAATATATATATATATATATATAAACTGAGAAGAAAGCAAAGCTAATAATTACTACAGTAAAAAGAAATAATTTGAGTGTTTTTTAAAAGAACAGTATCTGTGCATGTACATCCCATATTTTTATAACTTTTCAATGTGAAGCGGAGTTGGACTTCATTTACTTGTAAAAACTTGAACAATATGAGTAAGATTTTGATAGTAATAATTACTTAAAATGCAATAAGAATTCATGTTTCTCTATTAATATTTTAAAATTAGAGGTAGTCACATATTATCTCAACCACCTTAATAAAAATTGCCATACTCTGCTCTGCACATAAAAATTTCACAGGCAACCTTGTTCATAAAAATCCTTCAGTCAAGCAATGTTTCAATTGTTTATTTTTGTTGTATTTGGAATTCTAATGATTTTGACAGACATCGTAATTTTTTTGGGGGGAGTTGGGAACCTTTAACTTACTTTTAAAATATCACTTGTGGAATCTGCCAGCAATGGAAGAAACTGCAGTAAAAATTCTGCAGAATATAGTATTTTGTCACAAAACCGTTAACGCAAACAGCGATGAGATGTGTTTGGTAAACAGTTGATGTGCAGTACAAGTTTATGCAATTTATTGGTTTTTTAAGTGAAAACAGATCACTGTGTACATGGAGAAAAGAATAACGCTAAAAGTTAGAGAAGTATTTTGCAAATTCATAAGTGTTTTATTTTTTAGTACTTAACATATTAGCGTAATCACCTCAAGTTTGGCAAATTTTTATAAATGAAAAAGAATGAGGGTAATGTTGCTTGACTGAAGGAATGTTTATGAGCATGGTTGCCTAAAGTATTGTTATGCTCATGGTCGACAGATTTTAGCACATTCTGGAAATTTAAAAGAGCTTGTACTAAAGTGCTTGTGATAACATGTAAGAACCTATTTTTTAATGTATCATATAATTTTTACTTAATAATTAAAATTCATGTTTAGATTTTTCGGCTTTTTTCGGTAGGTCGATAATACTTTGCTGACTTACTATCAGATATTTGGGAATGGTTTTTTTTTAAAAAAAAAGTCATAAAAACCACTAACTTGTACCAGTAAGTAATTTTTACCTTTACATTTATAAAGACCACCAAATATGTGACAAGGTGGTTGTGTTAATACATGAGTACCAAAATAGACTTACGAAGAGAAATTTAAGTACCTTAACTCTCATTTCAAAATAAATTACATATGCTTTTCTGGATGTTAGACTAATTGATTAAGACAACGCAATTCAAGGACTATCTGCCTATAGAGAGGGATGCTTCATAGAAGAATTTTTAGGGAAAAATGGCTCGTATCCATGTTCTGCATAGGAAAAAACAAAAACCAACCTTACAGTCAGCTTATTTGCTGGCATTTGAACACTGGTCAAATTAACAGTTGCTTAGCAGTTTTACTGCTCAGCTATTTTGGAAATTATCAATAGAATATCATTCATTGGAAAAAAGATTAGGTCTTCATATAAATTCAAAATATAACTTCTACTACCTCTGACACTTCTGATTTTAGAAATTAAACCCTGGTCCTATCCACTTTTACCTATACTTTAATGGGAAATGGGATTATTTTTAAGTAAATGAGCTTAAGAATAGTCTTTAAATATAAAGATTTCATTTAAGAAATTAAATAGCACACATAGTTGTAAAAGGATAAATAAAATAATACTTTTGTACTGAAGTTATATAGAAATTGCTGTGAGTGTGAACTTTTGCAGATGACCCATCTGCTGCATGAGCTTGAAGATTCGGCTAATATAATTTACACAGCTAAGTATGTATAACAATATTATTTTATTTATCACAAAAACTGTTAAAGTTTTGCCTATATTAAAAACAATTCTATAAATTTTCAAATAGTAAAGGGAAATTATTTACTTTATAAGCCAAATTATATAAATTTAAAAAGTAATCACTTACCAAAGAAGTCACAGTATTCCTTAAGGACACGGACATCACTTAAAAATTGTAACGATGTGTAAAACTGCCATGCCGATTTGTACTGCATGGCAGTGCTTGCACCAGATGTATAATTTTTTTTTTCTCTTTATGTTTCTCCTTTGTAAATTGAGTACGCAGGTTACTCCATTTTTTTTTTTAATTTCATTTTCTGGAACGCATATTTGTGTGCTTAAGTCCTGAAATGTTAAAATAACCATGCTTCAGAAAAAGTAAATAACTACTGTGCTTTAAATGATAACCTTTACTATTAAATAAATAGACAATAATGTTATGAAAACCGCAACAATATGAGTAAAAAGTACTAATACAGAATAAAGATTACTATAGTAGAAAGGAATAGTGTAATTTCAATACAAAAATTTCAAATAAGAAATATAAATATGCAAAATCTTAAAATAGCATATCATACTGAATATTAAAAAATACTATCGGTATAGTTTAATAACTAATACAGTTCTGAAAACTGTAATCATATTGCTATATCAGTTAATCAGCTAATAAAATTGAGCAATATTGTATTAAATTGAGCTGTAATTTGTTTAACCAACATAAAATAATTTTCATCACGAATAAAAAAATATTTGATGATAAAGTAACGGGAAGATAACTTACCAAAATAAGGGAATCCTTTAACTTTTTATTTTTATAATTTATGTTATTTGTGTCCCACAACACAGCATGGTCTCTATAAAAATCAATCAATTGAAAAATTTGATTTTCGCTCCAACGAAAAAGCGCCATGTTTCCAAAATGAGAGAGAAAAGCACGTGATCTCTGGAAGCAATCTAATTGGCTAGAGTCGCCGATTTTATCGTCGGCTAGTGAGCGGTGAACACTAGCTCTGAAATCGTCGCAGAGAACATGACAGATTTTTAGCGCATGCGCACATCCTGAAAATTGTTCCTCTGCGAGAAAGTCGGCACGGTGAGGGCCTCAATTTCTATTTTTTTAAGATCTCATTATTGTTTTCTTATATTCTTTTTTTGGGGAAACATTTAACATTGACGATAAGACATTCATGATGACTTTTTTGGCAGATACCAAATGTTCACCTCCATTGATTACCCTATTTTCAAATTCTTAATAAGCTGTCTTGATGATGCGGCACGTTCACATCATCTTGACCGCACATGGTACTTCTGCCGAATTCCCAAGTACTTCTGTTCCACCCACTTGTGTAAAACTGTATATAATTCTACCCATATGTGTGGTTACAAATCAAGGAAAAGTTAACTTACTGGTATACCTGGTTGTGTATATTTATTAATTTTGACAAGGATTGCAGCATTTGGTGGTAATTTTCTTTTTAATTAACCCAAACAAGTAAAACATGTAAACCCAAAGTGATTATTTTTCAGTTATCTACAAATAAAATGAGCAACTATAAAGCTTCTCCTCTAAAAATTTTTAAAAAGTACATGTTACAATAATATGTGGATGACAAAAAAATTTATTTAAAACATTTTGGCGTTTGGAACGTAAAATAAAAGCAGCGAATACTCTATCAAGGGTATCGAAAGACATATAATTTTAAAGGTACCACCGTAAAGGTATTTTTCATTCCTTAGCATAACATTTTTACTAAAATATATATTTTTGTAGTTCAACAGCTTAGAATTTTATAAAACAAATTTATAATCAAAGTCGCTGTGGTTAGTTATTGAAAATAACCAGCTAATATAATAAAGTTATATTACCATCAATAATAAAAGATGTGATTTTTGCTTAAATGTCACTATACAAATTGCTATTCTCCATCAACAATCAATATTTCTTTTTGCGGAAGTATCTCATTTTTTGATTTGTATGGAACTCTTGTGTGTTGAAATACTATCAAAGCGCTATCGACAGAACCTCTGAATGTAAAAAAAAAAAAAAAAAAACCCACCCCATCTGGAGACCAAAGCCTCAGAGAAGTGCTTCAATCTTCGAGCAGGTTTGGGCCCTCCTTCCTTTCTTACCTCCATGAATGAATAGCATGGATACGAATCCCAAAGAAATCATGGTTGTTTATGAGTGAGCAATATCTTTGCAGCCTTAAATTAAATGGGCACTTAAATTACTATGAAGCTGAAAGCCCTCTTGAGTTTGGTGGAAGGGGAAGAGCAATGCCCCAGGAAATTTTCCTCCAAAACTGCTGCTGAAATCGGCAAATTTGCACAATTGCTTATAATGCTTAAGACCTAAGGCAATGACAGGTATAATTCTTGATATAAGCCATAACGCACAACAGAATGCATAAACAAAGAAAGTGAATGCTTTATTGGAGGTTTTGTCAACAAATTGATTGATTAAAGCATTCTATTTAGCGAATACAGAAAATGTTCAGTTAATTTTTGATAATATTTTCAATATGCTAGTCCTACAAATTATTTCTACACAGAAAGATGCATGAACAGTAAATAGCAGAAGTGTTTTAATTTATTAAAAATATCAGATCATTCCATAAATACTACAACAAGTGAATTGTTAAAAACTATGAGAAATCTGAAACCCAATGATGGAAATCGTGTACAAAGTTTTGACAATGTGACTTATAGGTTAAAACAAGCCGATAGGCTAAAAATTAGCAGCATCCATCCAAAACAATTTGGTATCATTTTAAAACTTTTAAGCTATTAAGGAAAGCATGTATCATATAAGTATCACCTAAATTCTTTGTAATTTCTTCCATCTATGAAATCTGTCAAGAAGTTGTATTTAAAAGAAAATTATAAATAAGTTGACAGTGGTTATTACTTATTTCCATTCAATCACTGTAAGATGCTTTCGCTTTGTAAGTAAGCCCTGCACACGTGTTTTCTCTTCTTTGACATAGAGACCAAATATTATTGTTTACCAAATATGCTTATAGACCGCCAAATTTTTGGATGGTTCCGACTTCTCCAGAACTTTTATTTCATACTGATGAAAGAAGAATTGACTTTGATAACGATAAGCTCTGCGTTATTTTAGTAATATGCATCAAGTCAAGCATAACATGTTCCCCGTGTGATTCTGTTTAAGTACCTTGCATTCACCTGTCTGGCAAACATCTTATTTAATCTTTAGTCAGGGTTCGTAGCCACATTTTAGTTAAAACAATAAGCACCTATAAGCACTTTGTAAACACATTTTATGAAAAAATGAGCAACTGTCTAATTACATTATACACAACTGCATAACCTTAAAAGAAAAATTAGATTTTTAATTTAAGATATGAGAAATTCAGTATTTATTAAGAGACAATGAGCATTACTCAAACATAGAAAACAATAACTTTTTTAAATTTTAAATAACAGCTCAATTTACAGAACTAGTTTACAATGAAAGCGGAAAAAACTATGCAGAACTAAATTATATTTAATGATGAAATTTCAGTTAAAAATAGAGAAAATAAATAATAATAAGCCATATTTATTATATTCGCTTGGAACCTAAAAATAAATACATTTTATTTTTCCACTCATATTAATATTTAAATAACTTAAATCAAAATTCTGAACATTTTCTAAATTTTCATTGTATAACAGTTTTCCCTTAACAGATATTGCAAACAAAGTAATTTAAATGAAAGAAGGAACTTTTCTGAAATCAGAAGATGGGAAATTGCTTCATGCAGTCGTCCTTTAACAGAAAAAGCTTAATTAACCAGCAAACTCGGAAATTACCGAATATCTGAAAATTCCAGATAGTCAAGCGTAACTGGTAAAAGAGGAAGGGGGGTAGATTGTGTAGCCGTTCTTTAGATTTTTCAGCTAAATAATGCTTTTGATATTTCGATATGTGCATCATATAAAAAATAGCCCAATGGAACTGAGAAATAATCTTCTTAGCAAGCATAGTAAAACTCTTTTATCTCTGTGAAATATCGCAAATGTTATTGCGCAATACATGCGCCTTAATCCATCCGCACGTGATATTACGCAATCGGAATCAACAGCTGCCGGTTTTCGGAAAATAAATAACCAAATAAAGGAAAACGCCCCTTTGCTTCGTCCGGTTTTCATCATCATGCGCCCATGTGGCATATTTACCAATGAGCAGGACACGTCGCGCTCAGCGCGATATCCCTGCCATACTCATATTGGTTAATAAAGAGATTTACCAATTTGGAGTGTATTTCATTCTAATTTTGAACAGACTGCATTAAATTTCTGGAACAGAATCATTCTTCGCTTGGGTTGGTAGACCGCGGAACTTTTAGTCCTATTCAATCCAGGTTGAAAATTGACCCCCCCCAAAAAAGTCTGTTGCTTGCTTTGCTACAAACTGTACCGGATTCAATATTTGAGATTTTGCGTAGAAAGGGAGAACCCCCAACTTCGTACTGTGCAATGCATTGGGGGGGGAAAAATATTTTGACTATTCGATTACTTTATGCCATTCTGAAAATTATTCCTTAGAAAACTAATCTGTGTTAAAACACACTTACCCATTTTTGGAGTTTATCTATACTTCAGCAGTTACTGCAAATATATTATTATAAATAGTCATACATATACTCATAATAAAAGCATACCGATCATAATAAACGCGGATATGAACTGACCACGCAGCATGAGAATGTTAAATTATTAAAATCTTGATAGAAATCCAAACATGTAATATTGGGTGAGAGCAGAAGAATACGGAATGTAAATTTTCTACCGCTTTCGCATTTTCTTGACCAATAGAACGACATGCACCAAAGGTTATGTTAATGCAGAGAACGGGGCAAAAAGCTATTCCACCATCTGACATTCCATATAAGGAAGAAAAGTTGTTTATTTGGTTTCGGCTTTGGTACGGGAGGGGGGATGTGCATTTGTTAAAAAAAAAGCACTAAAAACAAAAAAATTAAGTGCTTTAGAGAAAAAGTAAGCACCTCATATTTTATTTTCAAATATAAAGACTTACAAGCACTTGTAAGGACCACTATGAACCCTGTTTAGTGCTTATTCTGAAATAGTGATGCTAAAAGTAAAATAAAAATAACCGATTTCTTGTAATATTTGAATTATCGTCTCTTGGGGTAACTTTACTTTCATATTATACAGTCAAAAGTCGTTAATTCGGACATCCATAATCCGGACTTCAAAGCTACAAACAAACGTCGCAATGATGCATGCGCATGCCCAAAATACGTTTACGCATGTGCGGTTAATGTATAACGGACAGTATAAGCTAAGCTAAAATTATCTAATTCAGTTAACGTTGCAGTTTGCGCTGTTCCTTAATCTTCGAATTAGATCCGGCTTATTATTTTGTGTAGACTGTTAGAGCAATTTTATAAAAGTAAGCTTGAACTTTCGATTATGTGAAATAGAATTTCCGATATATATTTACTAATATGTAAAGGATCTACAAAGCGAAAGTATGTTTCGAAGTCCATTAAACAAAAAGTGGAATTGCTGCAAAAAATGGATAAAGGCATATCCTTTGTTTATCTAACCATTCCGAAATCTGTTTATCAATTTCACGCTGCTCTGCGGCGAAGGGACGCCGCGGCGCGCAATGAATTAGAAGTTGATCTGTCAGCACTATCCTTATCTTCAGGGCAGATGTTTTTATTTTATTTGGCTTATAACTCCTTACTACATGTAGTATTTCATCTCGATGTACTCTGTCTTCGATATGATTTAAATCAAATTCCTCATCATTAAAATTCGCTTCCGATAGCAAAGAAAGTAAAGTAAACAAATAAATATTAAGCTTTTTCTTTGTAAATTTTGATACCCTTTAGATCATAATTGCTCTTTATTTCATAAATTATGGTTTCATATTTTTAATTTTATAATTTCTGCATGCCATCTTACCAGATTTAAACTGATGAAACTGATAACCCAGAAAAATCGATAATCCGGAATCGCCGAAGTCCCGACGAGTCCGGATTAAAGACTTTTGACTGTATTTTCCTTTCATAGATCACCCTCTATTTCTATTCTCACATTTGTATGTATCTATAGGTTATTGCAGACACAACACGATCTAGTAACTATTTAAGAAATTCATTTCTATTATATTAAATCCATTTTCTACCACATTTGATTACATTTAATCAATTTTCTACCACATTTGGTGCCTTCATTCTCTATCACATCTAATTCAATTTAATATTACAGTTGAAAACTTACTCTGAAATTATATAATACAAAGCAGAAAACAAAATAATATCTGTATTCAAGTACTGTGTTATTCATCAATCAATGATGTAAAATAATGTGTAATATATTGTTCACTGTGCACCGACAAGGAATGTACTATGATCTGATATATGTGTCCCACTGATAAATTTTACATTTACAAGAGCTCTCTGCTCACCACCTGCCTATGCATCCACATTTCTGCGATATTTACTAACAGAAAGAAACATGTTTCCTGGATGCTGCTTACTTTTGCCTGTTTGCTTCCATTTATCTCATGTCTGAACGAGCACACTTCCGGTCCTGTCAACATCTGCAGATATTCAACTGCGATGCATGTTCGAACTTACGCCTGCCTTACTTTACACTAGACAACCAAGATATATCATTTATGCCTTTAACTTTCTTAGCCAGAAGTGACTCACAAGACTTTGAATGAAGCAGTGCATGGAAATTATTCCAACATTTTGTTACTTTCTTTGTCTCTCATATATGGTATGTGAGACTGTTGCGCACTTTTGAAGACATCTTGTATAAAAGAGTAATTAAACACTTGTTAGAAAAATTTCTGAATCAACCTTTATGTACTTCCCCATGCTGGTTTGCAGTTAAGTAAAATAAATAAAAATAAGTTTATAGGTGTTTAATAAGTACAAAACTTGCAATACAAATACATTATGAAAATTCTGGTGATGTATCATGAAACATCTAAGCAAACGCTTTATTGAATACAAAATTTTAGCTTATTGCTCATTTATTCAGAAATTTTATGTGGTAGGAGGTGGCCAGTGTCTCCTATGCATCTTATTTTGACAGCACCATTGTCAAAAATTTTCACCCAGGTAATACTGCAGTGGGGCAGGGAAAATCTAACCCATGCAGCTGGATTGATTTTCAGTAGCCTAAAAGAAAAATAACTGTTTAATATAAAGGTTAACTATAACTATACTTTTTATTTAAAAAATAATAATTTATGTGAATGAATAATATAGAGAGGGTGTTCGCACATTTTTTTAGGCGACTGTTGTAAAAAAAAAATCACCTGCTTGGAAAATGTTTTTTTAAAATTGCAATGATATTTTCGAAAGTGTAAATTACCTGTTACTTCATAAATTTGTTTTCATGCAAAATGGCACTTTTAAAGAAGTAATGGACAGAAGGCTATGATTGTGCTCTTTCCGAATTAAATTATATGCATTTAAGTATTAAAAATGCTACGAAAGTCACAATTTTTTTTTTTTTTTAATATTTACAGCAACAATTGATAATATTGTCAATAAGAAAGAAGTGTCAAAGTCTGTCTTCAAGGACAAAAATTGTTCAAAATATATATCCAAGGTAAAACCTGAATATTTCGAATGTGTCAAAGGTTAACGTTAAAAGAAAATCTTCAAAGTCAAAGGACAGTTGCATAATCATGAAAATGCTCAGTGTCAACTGTAAACAAAGTGATTAATGCCGATTTCAATCTTAAAAAGGCGATAAAAATGTGCGTCTTTCTCCATGACATATCACCAAAAGCAGAAAGCACTGCAGAGTTCTCTATAAGAAACAATTATTCAGATAAAAATGGAAAAATACTATTACAATAAATGGAGCTTGGGAATATTTAAATGCCACAATAAAAAGAGATCCCTTTATTTTCATCAAAGAGAAGGGGAAAAAAAAGTCACAGAATGTGGTTCAAAGAATCTAAAGAATGTTTTTCAAAGGGATTTATGATTGTTGCTGGTTTTTGATATAACAAGAACTAAAAATTAAAGAGAGTGAAGAAAACTGTTAAGGTCAACTCCACATATTATTAGGAACATATTTTATATCCAATTTTCAAATATGAAACATCTCTTTAACCACAGTGTCATCAATCAGTAGAACTTCAAGTCAAAGCTACCAGACACATGTCAAAATCCTTAAAATTAATTTGATATTCTTTCCTTTTATTGTTCATTTACAGTTACTGTCATATTTGTTGTTAATTTCTTTAAAAAAAAAACTGAAACTGAAAGGTTTCAGATTTTAACTTACATCCAAAGGGGCTTTTTTTTTAAACATTTTGTGTGTTACATTTATTTATTAAATATTACACTCTTCGCACTTAAACCCTAAAATTCTATTCAACAGCAATTTTGCAAAATAGTTTAAAAAAATGAGCACATCTTTAGAATTTCCGACATTGAGACTCCCACGCTGGAGATAAAAATGTACAACGTTGCTATTGCTCGCTTTGAAATCCTTGAGTTTGTTAATCAAAAATTCATTAGAGTTTTACACAATATGAAATTGATAATGTAGGAGGATTACATCATTCAAAATTTGATGGTTCTATGTACTATTGTTTTATCACAATGCAAGAAATGCATATATGCAGATTTTTCATTATTTAATTTCTTCAAATATAATGCAGGACTTTAACATTTAGTTTAAAAAGTGAGATAGATATTTATAGTGAACCAATGCAAAATCGCAAAACGAAAACAATTGTCTTTCAGGGACAAAGCCCCTTTGGACTAAAATAAAGTGTATTAAGGCCACACCCTTCACTCATATTCCTATTAAATCTCCTAATGTAACACCACAAAATTTTGTGCTTTTAGACTTTTAAAAAGCAGATTGTCCAGGCATCACCTACAACCTTCCTTAGACTTTGTAAAGCTGTTCAAGAGGAATGGAATAAAATATTTCTTCTGTTACCAGAAAAATCTTTATTGTCTTGGAAACTGTGGTGTAGAAAAGTAGTGAAGAATAAGGGTTAAAATTTTAGGCAAAATACATCTGTAAATACAATGAAAATTGTCTAAAAATGTGTGAACAGCCCTGTACACACACACACACATATATATATATATATACAAAGAAAGTGGAGACATGCAAATAACAAGCAATTTAAATAAATATTTAACATTAAAAAATTAGTGATGAAACTTAACAAGAAAAGCATGTATGACATTTTGATGGCTAATATTTTTCATTGCCTTCAGTTCAAACTGTATTATCAAAGAAGTAATGCAATCATCTAAATGACTGATGTCAGGTAGCACATAAGACATAAGTTAGAAATGTGAAACTGCTCAGCTTGACTGTGGAACCATGAAAGAATAATATTATGTCTCTACTTTGCATGATGCTCTGCATGACAGCTTAAATCAGCATTTAAAATAAAACTTGTTTTGGTCAAAACAGTCTTGGAATGAATGAATTAAAACTGTGATCGCATTCTAAAATATTTCAATTTAATTCTCTCCGAAACAGGACCAACAGCAGTTTTAATTAAGGTTCAGTAAACATAAATTGAAAAGTTGTTTTAGTCTAGGAATTTAGTGTTTAAAGTAGCATTAATTAAAAGATTTGTAACTTTTGATCAAGCATTATTTTGGTGAATTTAAATTAAGGAATGCTTTTTATTTAACCTCATGAAACATAATAAATACTTACTTGGATATTTTTTTTTACAAGGTTCAGATAGAAAGTTAGTTTTATGCTTATGGAATACCCTCCCACTTACAGTATCAAAAGTGTTTTTCACAAAATTTTTACCCAGGCGTTGGCTTCTGGAGTACCTTTGCAAATTAGTGCAATTACCTCCACAACTTTGTTAAGAAAACTGAATTAATTAAGAAAGAGCAATGGCTAAAGAAAAATGAACAAAACCATTAAGGGTTTAGTGAAAGGGAAATGAATAAGAAGTCCACACAAAGTGACGAAAACTTCTTTCAGCTTTCAATTCACTTGGGTAGGGGTCAGAGACCTCCCGCCGCTGTGAAATTGAAAGAGAGAGAGGTAATTGATAAGGCAAATTCCTGAACGCACTCTGTGAATGGAACTGAAACAAGTTGAAAGAGTAAAGGACGGGAGACATATTGCTCCAGGTCCTGGGTAAAGTACGTCATAGGTAATACGGACAACCGCAGAGTTTGCTAACGCCTTGGGAATGGGCGGGGGAAACTGGTCTTACGACCAAAGAGCAGGTTTGTAGAGGAGAGAAAGTGCACGGAGAAGTTGGGGGGGGAGTTAGTTCATTCTGAAGAGGTGAAAAGTTCTCCTACCACCTGGGGAGAACCGTGATGCGATTAACTGTGAAGTTAACTGGAGCAGATTCTGAAAAGTTCTCCTACCGCCTGGGGAGAACCGTGATGTGATTAACTGTAAAGTTAACTGGAGCTTTAAATGGCTGATCTTTAAGCTAAAATAATTTAAGTTGAAGGTAAAAATAGTAAATATTAATGTAGAAAAATTATTTTAAGGTACAGTATAAAGTAAAAATTTAGCTGAATTAAGTTAAGTTAAAATTATTAAGTTAAGTTTCATTAAATTAATTAAAAAGTTACGAATAAAAATTAAAGCTATTTTCCCATTATAAGAGATTTAATGATTAAGAGTCTGGACAGTGTCTTGTGAAAAGGTGAGGTCTTGGCAAATGGAGGAGCAAAATAATTTTAGCAGCACGGATAAACTATGCCGGTTGAACGAGGCCGGATTAGGTCCGGCGGGTGATTAGAAACAATCAAGGATCGTCGGGTTAGGCCCGTGAAGTGCTAGTTAAAATTAAAATTAGAGAGAATTCCTAGTCAAGTAAACATTTCCGCTTAGGCTTCCTAGGAAAGATGTTACACAAAATTTTGTGTCTACTAATAACTGAGTGAATAAGTAATGGTGATTTGTCAGGGCTTGCAAAGAACACATTGACTGCCTGCGGTAGTCTCTATAAATAATGTAAATATTATTTAACTAGATTTTAAAAGACCTTCACAAAGGTTTTAATACCGAGACAAATAAGGATCACATGCTTTACTGTAGTCAGTGAATCAAATGTAGAGATCTGCATTTTATTCTGAGAAACAATGTGAGATGATACGCTTGGAATCAATACTTAGCTTATTGAAACTGTCAAGCCTTGTTCAACGTACTACATGAAGAGCAATTAAAGTGTGTGGAACCAAAAAAGTTACGATACAAATGCATGTAGCCAACTTTATGACTATCTGTTTTTACTGTTATACAAGATTACATGGAAATGACTATATTTATAAAAAATATATCAAATATTTACATTACATACATAATTCAAAACAATACACAAAAATTTTTAGTTTAATAGAAATACTATATTTAAGAGACAAAAATTACACAGACTATTAGGTTCATTGACACAACAGATTGTTTATTAGCAATGCTTTGTTAAGCATCCATAACTACAAAATTACAAACATAAAAGTATTTTATTGAAAGCAGGTCATAAGCAATGCACAAGATGGTCAGTTAAAATTTGATGAAATTTTATTTTCATATAGTTCCTTTAAATTAAGAGTTAAAAATACAGCATTCAGAAAAAAGTTATTTCTTATATTCTAAATATTTTTGTAATACTGAAATATCATACTTATATTGAAAGTAAACTATTTAGAATACTGAAAAGAAATTATGCACATTGTTTGAGCATATTAAAAATAGTGCATTTTACTCTGCTTTAATTCAATTTCAAACATAACAGTTATGTCTCAAGATACCAAATATTGTGAAATAATTCCGAGAGTAAACTCAGTATACTTTTCATAAAAGCAAATCCAAATACTCGAGTTTTAGCCTACACAGTTATGAATGACATAAAATGAAAGAATATTATCTTAGACTTGCCTGCAGATGAAGTATCGTATGGCAGTAGTATGAGAAACCAGTATTTCATAACTATTAGATGTAGCTTCTGAGGAAGGTCCATAGAAGAATTTCTTGAAGGCTTCTCGAAGCTTTTTTTTCTGCATGGCACATACCTAAACATTCATCACTTATTAGATTTAAATAGTTTATGCATGCAAGGATTTCACATTAGAGGAAAAATAGCATTTTTTTGAAGGAATAAATATTGTTAGTTGCAAATACTTAATCTGCTATGCCAAAGCACTTATGTTATCTGCCCTAGAAGAGATGCCTCAACAATACCTCATCTGGTGGAGTTTTGCTTGTATTAATAATTAAATTCTGAAAATGCTAACCTGCTTATTCCAGAAACTGAACCCATAAGGATATACCAGTACTTAGAAATCTCCTCTATTCTGCTCCTCAGAAACCTTGTGAATTGACGCATGCGCGTAAGACCTTAAAGGCTCGTTTCCACTACTGTGTACGAACGCGTTGCGTCAATTGACGACACGCCTACGGCATCCGTACAAGCGTTTCCACTGCTGCGTATCTGTAAAATATTTTCATTTTCCGCCACTAGGTGTCACTGTAATATTTTGGCGCCAAACAAGCAGTTCGCGAGTTACGACGCTGAACATCTGAATTTTTCCCGCTTTGTTTTGGATTTGATATGGATCCTGACGTAAAACGCAGAAAAGTTTTGTTTACTAAATTTCATGTTATTGGAAATTTTTATTTCTGCTTATGAACTGCGAAAGTAAAGTACGCTAGCAATTTTTACATAAGTAAGGTTATAATGCATATTATGAACATCACTAATTCCATAGAAGCTTGAGTAAATTAAAAAAAAAAAAATTGTGTTTTTAGAAGCCTTAAATATTATGAAATAATATATATTATTAAAACTAAAATGTACTGTTAGTGAAAAAGTAAACAAATAAAATAATAAAATAAAAAAGTTAAAGGGATTAAAAAACAGTTGGTACTTTAAAAGTACAGAGCAACTGTAAAGAAAGGTTCACAAAATTTACGCAAAATTTGCTATTCTTGTATACTGCTGACTTCAGGGTCATAGCTGGATAATTTATTAGAAATCTCGTTTGTTTTAAAATGCACTATGGGCAGTTATATTTTATGCATAATCCATAAAATATTATTTTTAATTTAAACATTTTTAATTCATATCTCTTTTCATAGAAGTTATAAAAATAAGATTTTTCTCTTTATATATACACACATTAGGTAAAGAAAATGGAAATATTTAATTAATTAATTAATTCCTGCGCTTCTGCTGGAGAGGAATGAATTTAAAAGCAATTATTATAGTAATTTTTTGTTAAAAAATGTTTAGGGCATTAATACTGTCTCATGTTAATTGGAATGAAAGTTTAGAGTCGTAAACATCCCAAAGTCTGAGCACATGTATATACATTCACATAAAAGTGAAACGAAAATATATATATATATATCTGCAGGGTTTCAAAATAAATTAAATTTAAATAATTCTCTTGCGCCATTGCTGCAAGGAATGAAATTTGAATTTAACAAACATTTTCTATTCGTAAAAAGCAAATTAAAAGTTAATTAAATTTAAATGAAATTTAATGCAAACAAATAAAGGATTAATTATTGCTGCGAACTAATATACAATATCATTTAAATTCTGAGAGCATATGTAAATCAAGTGCAAGTATCAAAATCCATGAATAAATATATAATTCCAAAAATTTATTTATCCTATTATTCACTTATGCATTTTTATAAATTTTTTAGGATTAAATCTATCCTATTATTCATTTATGCATTTTTATAATTTTTTTAGGATTAATAATCTATCCTATTATTCACTTATGCATTTTTATAATTTTTGTAGGATTAATAATCTATCCCATTATTCACTTATGCATGTTTATAAATTTTTTAGGATTAATAAATTTTTGGAATTATATATTTATTCATGGATTTTGATACTTGCACTTGATTTACATATGCTCTCAGAATTTAAATGATATTGTAGATTAGTTCGCAGCAATAATTAATCATTTCTTTGTTTGCATTAAATTTCATTTAAATTTGCTTTTTACGAATAGAGAATGTTTGTTAAATTCAAATATATATGTACAGGATATGCTTTAAATTAGTATTATATAATTTTCAAACTTTTTTGAAGGAAAAATTTAAATAAATAAGAGCATAAATAAAACAATATATTTAATGCATATAATAATAGAAATAAATTATAAAACACGAATATAGATCAAATTGGAATAAAAAGGTAAGAAAGTTGCAGACAGGGTGAAAAAAGCGTATAAGCGTATGGGATTCGAACTCACGACTCCAAAAAAATGAACATCCTTACCATCAGCTTTACCACTAAGCTAGGATTGCACATAAGTCGCATGCATATTTTGGCTTATATACATCATCAACTAAATCAATTCTTAAAACTAAAGTTTTTTGGTACTATTTCAGTGTGCTATCGTCTGAAAATTTACCAGAGTTTGTTCTTCAGCTTCTAGTACACTTTTTACAAAAATCATTATCTTTTAAAGTGGCGCTCGGATTGAAGTTAAACGGGCTGCTAAAAATATATTTCATGTGCTTACAAATATATGTTATCCAAAAAGATATTATTTATAAAGGGAATACAAATTTAAACATACTCTTCAATGAACTGGAGTATTTAAAAGGCTATCAAATTTAATTTATAATTAACGTTTTTAGTTTTTACCTGTTTCAAAAGAAAAAAATAGCAAATCTTTTAATCATATCTAATTTGCTATAGTCAGACATTCATTTTCATTAAAGCTAAATGAGTATGCAGAACTAAAAAATGATTATCAGAACAAATTTTGCTATTTCATGGATTTGGAATTATAATTTTTGCCGCTGATTTTCTTGAACTGAATTTCCTGAATGAACAAGTACTGTAGTTGCAGTTATCTTGTTTTCTTATCTTTTTTAACTGAATTCAGCTGATTGCTGTCTTTTTCAGCATGCAGATTTCTCGCTATAATGTTAATTCAGAAATAAGTATTTTCTAGCAAAAACATTCATCGCTACTTCTGCCGCCATTAATTTTTAGTCACTGCACCTGATTGCTCCTTTTTTACCACGTGACCCCAACGCATCCGCAGACATACGGATAGAAGTTGAACATTGTTGAACTCCATCTGTATGTCATCCGTCACCGCACACTGACTGGATTGCAGATGTCAATCAAAGTGAATTCGCTCGCTGATTGGAGAAACGCATACGCAGCAGTGGAAACGGGCCTTTCCGGCTGCGAATATGCGTGTGCGCAAAATACGTTTACGAAAGCGCGTTTAATGTATAACGGATGGTATAAGCTAAGCTAAAATTATCTAATTCAGTTAATGGTGCAGATTGCGTTGTTCCTTAATCTTCAAATTGGATTCGGCTTATCATTTTTGGCAGACTGTTAGAGCAATTTTATAAAAGTAGGCTTGAACTTTCGATTATGTCAAATAGAATTTCTGATATATATTTACTAATATGTAAAGGATCTACAAAGCGAAAGTATGTTTCGAAGTCCATTAAAAAAAGTGGAATTGCTGCAAAAAATGGATAAAGGCATATCCTTTGTTTATCTAAACCTTGTTTATCTTTAATGCTGCGGCGCGCAATGAATTGGAAGTTGAACTGTCAGCACTATCCTTGCAGATGTTTTTATTTTATTTTGCTTATAATTCCTTACTAAATGTAGTATTTCATCTCGATGTACTCCGTCTTTGATATGATTTAAATCAAATTCCTCGTCATTATAATTCGCTTCCGATAGCGAAGAAAGTGACAGAGGTTATTGAAAACGAAAAAATTTCGATTGACAAATTAGTCGGTATTCTCGACACACTTGAACAGCGGAACTTTGTAAATGAACAAGAAATTATGTCTGTTTATAGAATTAAAGAGAATGTATTATCACATAAAAAACGAAGCAACTTAAACAACTTACATTGAAAGAAATGTTTAATAAAAAGTAAACAAATAAATATTAAGTTTTTCCTTTGTAAATTTTGATATTGTTTAGATCATAAATACTTCTTTTTTCATAAATTACGGTTTCATATTTTTAATTTATAATTTCTGCATGCCATCTTACCAGATTTAAACTGATGATCTATCATCCGGAAAAATCGATAATCCGGAACCGCGGAAGTCCCGATTAACGACTTTTGACTGTATTAAAAATAAATGCTTTTACACCTTCAAAAAATTAAAAATTCAACTTAAAACCTACATATTTTGATTTGTTTCGTTTTGTTGTATTTAATAATAAAATAAAAAAATGTGATAATTTTTTGCAATTTTTTTCAAAAAAATTTGTAGGGGAAGCGGTTAAAGAAATACTGCTGTAGCATTGTTAAAAATATTTAATAGGTTATTATTACCATTTGTACATAAAAGACTTATGAAATTGTATCATGATCTTAAAGTCGTTTTCAGGATATATTTGAAAAGCAATATTTAAATATTGGGTTGAATAGACACCACAAAATAGAATAATCGGAAAACATAAAATTACAACAGTATATCTGAAAAATTTTTACCTATATTTAATACTTAATATTACTATTCTGCTTATACAAAGTAAATTGATGCATTAATTTTTTGTTGTTAACTTTACACATTAATTCTTTGGTTGTTTAACACAGGGTTGCCACTCAAACAGGAGAATGAAATTCCGACTTTTCCAGGTGTCTTAAGAAAATTCCAGTCTATTCCCGTAATGCACGTTGACTGTGCTAAAAGATAAATTAATTATGATATCACTTGAAAACGCAAAAATTTGCTAATTATGACTTATTTATATAATCCCCAAAGCATTACTATTATAACTACAAAAGTTGTTGTTTTCTCCACTGAAGATTGAGATTAGAATCTGCCCAATCTGGATTAAAAAATATCTTTTTTTTTTTTTTTGCAGACAAACAAAAGAAAGAGATCTATTTAATATTTTTAAATAAATTCAAGTATTTTATATTTATTAAGCAGCATACATAAGCAAAAGGTATGTGCATTAAATTTCGTGATGTCATCATACTGCTAGAATTAGTTTCAGGATTTTGCCAGACAAAGCATTATTTAGTACTAATAAATTTAGAGGGAA